TCGCCCATGTAGCATTGTTACAGACAGGAAGACACTGTGGGTTGATGTTACAGACTATCACTGGGATGAAATTTCCCCACACGGGGTAAATGCAAGGGAAACAGTTTCTTGCCATGTCTCCGAGCAGAGAGAAACTACTCTGTCTTACCTCCGGTGTGCTGTTCTGCATGCATTGGTACAAGAGGTTTAAAAGGTTGGAGTTGCGTATCAATGGCTCCATTTGCGGTCCCAGACCACCTACCAGGCCTGACACCAAATCAAGCGAGCAGATTATAAACTCGACCTCGTATTCAGGGAGGTCATCGTTCTTTGGGTCTTTCTCCTTGGCCATCTGCTGCGCCAATGTCTTTTCGATAAGCACGAGACTCCTTTTAAAAACAGGTTCGGCAAAAGGAATAAAACCATGCTTCAAGGCGACTGCAACAGACGTAATACATTCGAATAGGCAGAACAAGTCCCTGTCTTCGTCGTTGGTTTTGTTCCATTTGTCAATTAATGGTGGCATCAAGAGATTAATGTACTCCTGACTGTTAAGACAACTTCCAACATAATTAGCTAATGTGCCAACAGCATCGTAAAGCAGGGATAGATTCCTTCTTTGGTATTTAGAAAAGGCAAATACAAAAGTTTTAAGAATGGCTTCAAGATGGTTGATAAGTTTGAAACTGGCGACCTCTTCCAGTTTAGCCAAAGCGGAACAAGCACTCTCTTGCACTTTTTTGTTGGAATCGAGCATCCTGTGAAGCAGTCCAGAAAGGATCTGCTCAAGATATACATTGCTGGCTTCAGAAACCACCCATTCGTAATATCTGGAGAGGGTCCAGCAAGTGATCACCCTGATGAGCGATCTCTTATGGCTCATGCATTGAATCAAATATGGGATCAGGTCATTCAGATGTTGAATGATCCCACTCATGCAACCTTCTGAAATCGCACCGAGGGCAAGGATCCCAGATTCTTTGATCACCCAATCATTATGGAAAAGAGTCTCATTTAAAATTGGTAAAATCACAGGAAGGAGGTCCTCTTTGAAGATCTGAGCGAAAGTATCTAAAGCCGCCGCATTGCTCTTCCTTATATTCCAATCTCCGATGATTTCTTCTTCATCAGAGCATTCTTCCCTTTCGTTATCCAGAGTCTTCTGTCTGTAAAACCTCGGCTTGATGTCTTCATCCCTGTCTTCGACAGCCTCATCGTCTATGTCCCCTTTAAGAACAGCTATATCAAAATCCGTAAACTTCATATTGCTCACAAGCACCGGTACCAATTTGGGAAGGTAAGGACCGAGGACTTCTTTACAAATGGCCTGCTCAGACAGAGTGTGCCAGAAGTCGGTGGCCTGTAAGGCGACGTTCTCATCCTGTGTCTTTAGTATCATGTATTCGATCACAGGTTTTATGTAAGGAAGAAGGCTGTCCACCTTCTGCTCCAACAGCTTGACGAATGCCTGACACACCTGCCTGCAGACCTCTGGGTCGTTGTCGTTCGATATCTCAAAGAGCACATTCATAAAATAGTCAAAGTTTTGCAAAAAAGTCACTGACTTGTTGGAGATGAACATGTTGATGCAGGTGACGGCAGTCGATCGCACCTTCGTATCGTTGTGTCCGAGGAAGTTGAACAGTTTGAGTACGATGTGGTTGAGAGGCGAGTCGGGGTCACGCAGCTCGGTCATGTCTTCGCATATCTTGATAAGCGCGTTCATCACGCCCTCGCAGGCATTGCCGTCATTAGTCTCGAGCAGGCCAACAAGGCAGGGGAGAAGCTCCGGCCAGCTGGCCAGCGAGTCCAAACTCACCAGGGTGGAGATGAGCGTGCCTACCGTCTTCCGCACCAGCGACGACTTGTCCTGGATGCTGACCAGTGCCATCTGCTTCACGTATTCGACCACGTCCGAGACGTCGGTTCGCATGTTCTGCTGGTACCTCCTCACGATGTTTTTGACGTTGAGGCAACTCCGCGACCGGATCGCCTCGTCCTCCTCGGGCATCTTCGTCACCACGTACATGAGGTACTTGCAGAACTCCGGGTTCGCGCTAAGCTCCTCGAACCTCTCGCTGACGGCCCGCTGTGTGGCCGTGTCCGGTGCCATCGACAGCTTCAGCAGGACGAGCACATCTTTCAGCCACTGCTCCTGCGGCTGGAAAGTCATTTCCCCCTTCCTTCCTCCAACTAAAAACAAAACTGAACCAAACGAAAAACGGCAGTTTTTACTTTACCTTCCGTTCCGACCCTAACAGTCGCAAGTTAACCATTCGAAAGGAGAAGGGCCGAGTCGTACAACTCGACGGCTATCGAATATATCATTTAAACAAGCTTCGGCAGATTCGCCGCTCCTTCTCGATCTCGACGGACTCGCCTTCAACTTGCAAACGGATCCAAAAGAAATTTGACGGATACGACTTTTTTTCCCCGTTCGCCCGTGAAAAAGTGATTCGGTCGAGAAGTTGCCGCTTCAAGTGGCCGTGGAATCCACGCTGAGATTCGCCCTTTTCAAATTCAACATTTCAACCTCCAGCAACACTCCTCTCAAAATCGCTAACGTTAACAAATAAGTAAATATTTAACTCTTGATAGAACATTATTTATTTACACCAAGATATTGTTCACATTCATTAAATTAAATTTAGTTGTACTAGTAAATTTTTTTATTGGGCTCCCATTTCATCAATTTCAATTTAGTTGTCCTAATAAATTTTTTGTTGTTCACATCCATTAAATTAAATTTAGTTGTACTAGTAATTTTTTATTGGGCTCCCATTTCATCAATTTTAGTTTAGTTGTCCTAGTAATTTTTTTTTATTATCGAGTATTCATTAAAATAAATTTATATCCCACCCATCATCTTATTATGTAGGTAGTTCACAAAATCAGGATGGACACTATCAAAAAATTTAGTTTTTAGTAAATTTTTTTGTTGAGCCCTCATTTCATAAATTTCAATTCAGTCGTCCTAGTAAATTTTTTAAATGAATTCCCATTCATCCAATTAAGTTTAGTTATCCTAGTAAATTTTCTCAGTTGACATTCATCAAATTAAATTTAGTTATTAGTAATTTTTTTATGAAGTTCACATTAATTAAATTTAGTTGACCAAGCAATTTTTTTTGTTGAGTTCACATTTTATAAATTTCAATTGTTGTCCTAGTAAATTTTTTTTATTGAGTACACATTCATCAAATTAAATCTAATTGTCCTAGTAAATTTTTTAGTTGAGTTCACATTTCATCAATTTAGTTGTAATAATAATTTTTTTAGTTGAGTTCACATTCATTAAATTAAATTTTGTTGTACTGGTACATTTTTATTGAGTTCCCATTTCATCAGTTTCAATTTAATTGTCCTAGTAAATTGACTTTTAAATTTATTTAATTATGTTGACTTTTTGGTACTGGCAATTTAAAGCACTTGCCTAATATTGTACCACTGTTAATACATGTAATTCAAGTTGTATTGAAATCCACTATATTTTACAAGTGAGATACTACACTAATGTACTTGCCAACAAAACAAATGTTAATACAAGCAGTTAAAAAAAAAACCTTTGTTGCCCCTAGACAAATATTCATTAGCACATATGAGGCGTTGCGGATACGAAGGGCGAACTCGACATCAGGTTAATTTTTTTTTTTTGGTCACCATCCGAATCTAGCCGCTTCAGAGAATGTACAGTTATAGCTTTCATGTTGAGTTCGCCCTTCGTATCCGTCTGAAATATGAAGAGAATAATACGATGCTAGTTGGATTGTAGTTGGAAACTGCCATAGGCGGGCGGATACTAAGGGCGAACTCAACATCGCTCCTTGTCCTTCTCTTCGCGCTCCGCTGTATGATGCAATCCTTCGTTTAGTTTGCATAAATAAAAAATAAAAAAAAAGAAAGAAAAAATTAAAAATTAGAAATTACAATTCGTTTTCAAAGTCATTTTAATATTATTTTAAATGTACGTACGTTTTCAGAATACAGACTTTATAAATAAAATGTGTTTTTTGATTAATTGAAGTTCAACCAAATTCCTGACCAATCTCTAGATGGGGTAACCATTAATAAACAAAAAATTAGGCATCCTTCAACGAAAACAGGTTTAATCTTTTTTGTTGAGTTCGCCCTTCGCATGTCAACGGAAAAATTATTTTCAAATAAGTTTTTCTCAACACCTCCTTTTGTTGAGTTCGCCCTTCGTATCCGCAACGCCTCATATGTAGATAGACTACAAGTTACTGAAACACCAGTTTCAACCCAAAAGCTCAACAAAAACAAACTATGATTAAAAAGGTCAAATCTAAAAACAAACCACAGTAATGTTGAAAAAGCAATACTAAAGGCCTGTGAAACCAATACAATTAAAAAATACGCCCAACACCCTACAAACTTAAAAAAGAGAGGGTTTTCTAAAAGAGGTGTCTCGTTCTGAAATCATGTCTGTTGGGATGGGTTTATTGCATCCTTCCAGAATGACGATGCCAGTAATGAACATTACAAAAACTTCAGAGCCACACTTTGTAGAAATGTTTCCTCCATGGAAGATATTGCTAAACTTAACTAGATTTTTTATATATTTTTTTTAACTCTCCAACAGGCACCATATATAAAAATTACAGAAGTAGGCTTTTTTTAAATGATAAAATCACAACAAAGTGGCTTCAAAAATAGTAAATTATGGCAGTATGGCGTTTTCTCATGGCATGACTCCATCATCTTCACAGCCGATGGCTCCAATTAAGAAGGCAATGACCGTGAGTTTGTGACCAGAAGAAATAAAGAAATGTAAAAAATGGCACTTGTTGATCCCAGTGTTTTAAAATGTAGAGAAGAAATACTAACCTCTTTTGGCACGATTGGAACAAAAATTCAAACTAAAAATACAATAATAAAGAAACCGCTACATGCCCCTGGAAGGATTAATGGCATGCAGTAGACAAAAACCTCTACTTTTGTCAAACTGTTACTTCAAACAGCGCAAGACATGACATTCAATTGGTAATATAAATTAAAATATATTAAGCATTTTATATACTTTATATTTACATCAAATACTGTTATTATTATTATTATTATTATTGAAGATACAACGTCCAAGGTGGTATATAGGAAATAAACTATAACCGTATAAGTTCAATAATAAAAAAAACAAACTAACAAATTTTTTTTCGTGTTGCCAATAATGCCAAAACTGTACTTTGGCAAACCTTATGTATAAACTTAAATATTTAACTTTGCACACACTTAAAAACAGCGAGTAACTATTTTTATTTACATTTCATATAAAGCAAGAAAGGCATATTTTAAAAATTTATACAAAAATATTTTAAAACTGGAAAACTTTTCTAGATTTTCTTTAAAAATTCAGGTTATGTACACATTTGAACATATCAAATCGGAAAATGAGGGAAGTGTAAAATTTCCTAATCCTGATAATCGTATATTTATTAAAAATAAATTGAACCTATGTTCTTGATCTTCCCATGAAATTCCCACAGGCTACATCCATATAACATATTTAAAAACTTTCTTATTATATACAACCGTTAATAAGTTAACAATTAATTTATAAGACTATTTACACCCCAAATATGAGAAAGCTGCTCTCCTTAAAAGGTAAAAACATAGATATATGTTGAAACCTATTCCATTTCTGTTGTCGTCTGAAATCTGAAACCGAACCAAAACAGAATTGTCCATTTTAATTTCCAATTGATACAACTACGTGGTGCAACATTACTTGTCCAATTCTAGAGCAGCGTATTGCTCTTCATCGACTTCTGTCATCATGAGGTTTCCGTCTGGTAGCAGAAGAACAACTCTCCTTGGACCACCTTAAAAATAATAGCATTGATTTGTAAATAATACTTGCTGTAAACTACTTTTTTTTATAAAATAATTTTATTCATTATTTATAAATTGTTAACTCTGCTGACAGCAAAGCCAAATCAAATAATTTTGCAATAGTAATCACTTTTGAAGCACTGTCTCTAACCACACTGCTTGCTTCATCTTTATCAAGTTGTGGGAGATTGGTTACAGGCTGTAAACGGGCAATACTTTGAAAGCAATAAATTGTTTTAAGACTTAATAGTTCAATAATAACAACCCTACACTAAAGGGGGAAAAGTGACCACCGAAGATTAATTAGAGTAGTATGTATGTATATATGTAATTGAAATTTTTAATAATTTTCCTAAAATTACTATTGTTTTCACTTAAAGAGGAAACATAAAAAATATGTACTTTTCTTGTCATTATATGTTATTAAGATTTATTTCTTTTTCTCACCTCCTGGTGCAGGTTCACCGGCTTCGACCAGTTGGGCAACAAGCTGTGACTGCCCGTCTTCGCTGCCGTCTTGGCCTTGTACTTCAAGGCTAAGAAGTTCGCCATCTTCACTTTCCTTGACGTAAAACTGTGTTTCTTCACCTTCCGTGCCCAATATGTTCACCTGGAAGAAGCCAATTAGTTTCTAATAAAGCAAAAACTAGGAGAATTCACAATACCCCTTCCAGCTGGGCGACTGTGTCAGAATAGGTGGAACCAAGTGCTAACACTGCTGCGTTTTCATCTCCATTTTCTCCTGTTGTCACATAAACGCATTGTTGGCCGTCTTCTCCAGAAACAAGAAGAGTATTGTTCAACTCCGCCTTCGATACCTAAAAATAACATTTTATAATTTTAAAAAAAATCCAGTTTTTTGTTTTGAAATTAGTTTTATAAGCTTAATTACTTTATAAAGAAGTCCATCTTCCCCTGTAATGGTCACAAACTCACTGTCATTGTCTTCTTCTTCCTGTATAGATTTCTTAGGTGATATAACAATAGAGCCAGTCGTCCTGTTGAAAATCAATCAATAAATATAAACGGTTTTAAAAAAATCTGTTATAATAGATACCAACCCAGGTCTCCCCAGTGTTTTTTTGAGTATTGTGTTATCCTTCGTGCTGTTCACTCTGGACAAGAAAGGCTGATCTTCCTTCTGCTTGATCAACGTAGAGGGCTGGAGGAGAAAGAAAACAATTCAGGGGAGTAAAAACAATAACCGGGCGAAGGAAATAGAAAGGCAATGTCGTTGGTGGGCGAGCTTACCTTTTCGGGTTCCTCCTGCTTGATCACGACTGGCGAAGGCGGGGGAGTCGGCTCGGGCGTCCTCTCTCCTTCCGCCTTCGATAGTACTTTGCCTGTTTCGGGGCAAAGTGTAAGTGGCCTAGGGGGACTTTCGGGTTCAATGGGAGGGAGATCTGTAAGGAGGCGAAAAACAAACTTCCCTTAAATATCAATTTTCAAACTTGAGAAAAAATCAAGTTATAGTTTTAAAATTCAACTAAATTTCAGCCAAACTAATAAAAATTATTAATTTAATTTTATAAGAAATAAAAATAATTTTAAAAAATTATGATGACTATATTTTTAAAATTTAATTTAAACCACCACAAACACATTTTATTATTATGGTTCTACAATTTGGAATAAACCCAGAAATATTTCCTCCTACTGACAATGAAGCATTCAACAAAGTATTTGATAAAAGGATTTCCTGATCAAATAATAATAGAAAATAATACCAAACAGTGATTGGAGCTTATAAAAATTATTTTTAACAAAATTAACAATAATCCATATATTTATTTATTTAGTAGTCATAATTGACCATATTACTTATTATTAATTATACTTTTTATCAAATGTCTTGGTTGAGATGAAAAAGCTAATGTCACGAGGGGGATTTGAACATGACCTTTGGCTTGTGATGAGGAGTTGGTGTCCAGTGGATCGAAGTCATGATTGCTCAAGTGGTTCGAGCAGTGGCATATTTACCAGAAGGTCGTGGGTTTGAATCCCGGCTCATGACACTAGGTTTTCCATCTCAACCAAGACCTTAGTTAAAAAGTATAATTAATTTAAATAATTAAAAATATAAAAAAATTCGAGAGTGAACATAGGCAACGTTTTATGGTAGCCAGAAGGATATCTAGAGAGATAACCTAAATAAATAATTTAATTAATTTGGTTATAAATTATTGTTCAGATATTCCATATAAATTATTTGTGAAGTTAATAATAATTTTTTAAGACTTCAATACAAGACTAGCATAAAAATATTTTTGCACCCCTCACGTGATCTCAACCCCTTTCACAAAATCTTTTTGAAATGCCTCTATGTCAGAACTTTTAAGTAAAGTGGAATTTTATTTGGATTACCCGCTGGGAAATCGTCTGGGATGCCGGGGTCAGAATCAGACGACTGAGACTCCTGGGCCATATCCCTGAATATACTATCCGCGTCTTTGTCCTTCCCTTTGCTTCCGATACTATCAGTATCTGAGACTAAAATTGAGGCAAAATTAATACCTATTGACGGCAAGCGAGTTTTATGTCTTACTTGAGTTATTGGGTGGGCCACCGATGGTGATGCCACCCCTTCCCTTAAAACCGCCTCTCGCCGGAAAACCGCCCCTACCAATTTTACTTCCCAACACTCGCCTTTCTATTTCCAAAGCTTTTTTCTACAACCAATAGAGAATTAGTTCGCATCGTGAAATATTAATTGGGTGGAAGGGGGTCCTACCTGTGGCTCTTGGGTAACTGTCGTCTTCAACGGTAATTTCGGCTTCACTGACGGTGTCACGTTCACATTAGACCTTGCAGCAGCAGACCCACTATGAAGTAGCCTTGAATTAAAATAAAAATAGAACCTCTCTTTAAATTTATGATGTTCTTCTAATTTACACTTTGGAAGTGATGCTTAATGATTAAGATTGCTTAATGAAAATTTTCTGCTTTGAATAAATTCACGTTTTAAACTAATATTTGAAGGAATTATTTTATCCTTACATTTTAATCACTGTTTTGTGTTACTTTATAACTTTATAACAAATTAATATATTAAATTTATCATGCTATTACTGACCTTGTATTTGGATTTGTAATTTTGATGTTGCCTGGTGGCCGCGAGGGCCTTCCAATGCCTCTTTGGATGACAGTGTTCGAGTTGCCTCCTCGGCCCATGTTTGTAAGAGTGTTTTTACGTAAGATGCCTGTCCTCTGGATACCCGTCGTGTTCTGGTTTTGCTTATTCAGCATTACCACACTACCGGAGGTGATCGTGGATGTCATGGCAGGCTTGGGCGCTATCGCCGTCACTTCTTTGACTGGGCCTTGCTTAAGTGAAAGGGCTTTCGAGGGTGAGACGGAGTCCAACTTGATTATGCCTGACTTATTGGACATTATATAAACTCCAGAAGACAAGTTTGGAACCTGGGATGGGTCGACTTTGACAACTCCTTTTGCATTTGCTACCAATACCTAAAAACAAATTTAACAGAACTTCATACTCAGGCTTAAATGTAAATAGGGATGGCTATGGATCATCTTCATAGCTCTTTCTCTTTATCTACAGGTGTCCTGTACCATATTCAGTTTTGCCTTTACTCCCTCAACTTAGAGGGATTGAAAATTACAGAACTATAAACAAAAAGTTATTGTCCTATCAAAATAATTTCCTACCCCCTCTCCCCACAACCCTCAGGAATTTCTCGTTCTCCTGATAAGGACAGACAATTCGGGCAGCTTGCCCTTTCTTCTCTTTGAACGTTAAAAACTTGTTCAAAGAACCATGATTTAATGGACAATGTGCATGGGCAAGAGCTAAATCTTGTTAAACCTTTTTTGAAAAACAAGTTCAAATTTAGTTCAGAAGGCTTACTTATCAGCAAACAGCTCATACAGGAAACTTGAGCAGAAACAAAGCTGTGGCTGATTAATTGGAAACTGCAAAGAACTCAACACCTTTAAAAGTAAAAATATCTTATGTGGAAACAAAATTTCTCATTTCAAGACTCTTGAATCCTATTAATAAATCCCTTGTTTATTTTGCTGAACTTTTAACAACTGACTTTTCTGGAAGCCCTTTTTCTTTGTCAGAGTTCAGTAATGTTGGCCTTAAAAACAACAAATCACCCCCCTGACAGAATTCCTTAGGAATTGTACAAATATGCTCCTCCACCATTCCTTGATCATCTATTTTTCAATTCAATATTTGATTCTGGCCTTACTCCCTTTCCATTTAGTAAATCTATCATTTTCCCTTTATATAAGAGCAGTGATGTTAACAATGTTAATAATTACAGGTAAATATCTTGTCTTAACTCTATTGCCAAAATCTTTTCGGCCTTGCTCCTATCCCGCGAAGAGTCCTTTGCAGTAAAAGATTCTGAGCGTGTTTCAGATGGCTTTTCGAAAGGGTTTTTCGACAATAGATAAATTGTTTGTATAATCACACATAATTAATACCAAGTTGGCCACCCCTAAACAAAAAATGTATTGCTTTTTTACAAATTTGAAAGCAGCCTTTGATAGCGTTGATCATCAAGGTCTCCTTTTGAAACTTAACAACTTGGGTTTTTCATCCAAAATATTAACTATGTGTGGTGATTAGTAACAGTTAATCGATTTCTAAATAAATATTAACTATATTGAAATCGCTTTTATCTGAGTCAATGTCCGGGGGGGGGGGGGTGTTTGTGTGTGAGAAGGGCTCTCAGAATATTTTAAAGTTCATGGGGGGGGGTAGGCAAGGGTTCCTGCTAAGTCTGATTCTGTTTGCCTGTTTCTTGATGACCTTCCATCTGTTCTTAAGCGTGGTGTGAGAATACGCAAACGTAACAATAAAAATTCTACTCTATGCAGACGGCATAGTAATAATGGCTGACTTCATGCATGGTCTAGAAAAGAATATAAAGCTATTAGAAGCTTTTTGTGGCCAATGGAATTTAACGGTGAACTTCAACTTCACTTGTTATGGTGTTCAGAAGAGGTGGTAGACTTAAGTTAAGCACTAAGGGGAAAGAATAGAGGTGGTTAATGAGTATAAATATGTTGGATTGCAGTGGACGAATCATTTGAAGAAAAAAGTAACATTAACAAAGTTTGCAATCAACAAGACGTGGTCTTTTTAATCGCTCAAGAGGTCATCCCATTAAAAGTCAAGTATCAATTATTCAACTCAGTGCGCTGTTCAATCCTTGTTACGTTTGCCAAGTATGGGGTTATCAACAATTTGATTCAATAGAAAAAGTTACAAGATATTTTGTCCGTAAATTATTTGCATTACCAATTTCAACCCCAAATTACATGATTTACTCAGAAGCATCACCAAATCCATTATGCATGCACACTTTACAGCTTCACTTCTCATTCATTCTTAAAACGTTACATCTTTCAGGTTCCAGGCTTGTAAAAATAACAGCATTAGAAATCATAAGTCTACGACTTCCTGGTATGCCCATTGGCTATATCTATCCCCTAAGTTCTCCCTAACCACCCCAACCCTTGATAAATGGCTCATTTCAGCTTTGCTATCTGCAATAAAAGAGGATCAAAGAATTGAATGCACGTGCCGTGCTCAATCCTCAGATAATTTTTGTTGTTTAAAGGCCTATCTCCAATCCTCAGATAATTTTTGTTGTTTAAAGACCTATCTCATGCATGTGTTTATTTAATATAAAAGAACAAAATTTCGTCAGTCTTAATCTATCTGAGTTGCGTTGTCTTCTAAAAAACTTCATTGCGAGGTTCTCAATTTGAACTCTGCTCTTTGGATAAGAGGGAGGGATGGAATCTGTTCTCTTTATAACTCGCGGTCAATTGAGACAGAACACTAGCTGAGTGTTCGATTTTAGGAGAGATTCATCTATTACACTTCAGGTCATTCACTCTAGAAACCTAATCATTGAGCTGTTGAATGATTCAATATGGTATGCTTGCTATATACATATGTTATGCTTAATGGGGTACGAGTCTACCCAGGCATTTAACCCCTCGGGTCTTGGTCTCCCCTGCCCTGCGTAATATATGGTATGCTTGCCATGCCTGGAAGTATAGATACCATTTAGTCCAATAATTTATTTTTTAATTTCATAAACACCTTTCCTTCATTAAATACCACAATCATAAAAAAAGTTGATGATCTGGATGAAATACTCATTACTTTTCTGTGTATTTATTTTTATTCTTCTTATGTTTTTTGTTATTTTTATCTTTTTATGTTATTTTTATGTTTTACTATTAATGCATGTATTTCCAGAGTTTTATGTTTAATTTGCAATTTCCATTTAAGTGTGACAATTTACACAAAACAATAATTTAAAATAATAATTTACAAAATTGTATACATATAGTATTTCTATATATCTATTTAAATGTAAATATGTAAAAATAAAAATGTATAGTATTCTAAACAACTATCAAAGTTCAGTTTTGCCTAAAATTAACATTGTCCCACTAGACCCTTTATACAAAATCGTGTAAAATTGGTATATACGCATGGGTTTTGATGTTACAAACTTGGCTGACAATAAAAATTATAGGTTTGTTCCATCACGCATTCAAACCGTTAGCAAACTGGCAGGCGCATGCGCAGTTAGATTTTGGCATTCTTCATGCTCCAACCCCAACTCAAACTGTCAGTTGCATGTTCTATCACATTTTCAGATCAGGTTTTGGTCATCAAAACAGCCCGAGGATTTTATTAGGGACTGGCAGTCAGAGACATGTGCAAATGTTTCCCAGCGCTTTCGCTCTTGTCAAATCGCAAAGTTTTACTCAACAAGGGGCTGGATTAATACATGAAATTTAATTATATATGATATTAAACAAATATCAAAGTAAAAAATGTTAAATATAACTTAGTTATGCATTTTTTTAATAATTTATTTACACATATTACTTGAAAATGTGTAAAAAGGAAGAATATAACAAGTTAATAAAATAAAAAATAAACCTTTAGTTTATTTGAAATAACACATTTTTAAATTTTCATAAATAAAAATGTACCTTTCTAGTCCTAAACAAATTTCTATAAAATGAAAATGCATCCCTCCCCCCAAATATTAAAGAAAGAAACACCAGACCGCATCTCATGATTTCTAAATAATTTTTAATAATCTTCCAAATTTTCATTGATGGATTCTGAAGCGTAAATTGCTTAGGTCTTTCAAATCCGTATCCATTACAAAATAATGGGCACAATGCACACATATATATCTACAAAAAGTCCGTCTCCAATTTCAAACATTTCGATGTTTCTCACCTAAACTGTCGGAGTCCAAGATTATAAGCTAAATAAAATTTGTTAGATAAGCAAAAAATACTTTGAAGTAATATTTTGTAAATTAATTTTTTTAACCAGTTTGTACCTATACTTCCAAGTATGCTGAACATATTTTATAATGGGCCATTTTCCCTTAACAGACACTCAAGTAGTTCCCATGTTAGTCAAAAAGACACTAAATGTAAAAACCACAGCTCCACAAGGCTAGGGCATTCTGCCATAAAATGAAATGCACTATCCGGACTGGGTGAATTGCAAAGAGAACAACCTCTCATTGTCCTGCTGTACCAAACGACCAAAGTTCAAAAAGGGTGAGAATTAAATAAAGTATATACAAAACAATAAAATAAAACAGAAAATACCAAAAATATAATAAAAATAAACAAGCATACAAGTATTGAAAATGAGGACTATAACCAAAATTTTGATAGCTTAATAATAATGAAAGAATAAAACGTAAAAAGTAAATTCTCAATCAATTTGTATCTCTAGCTCCAAGCCATTTAGCACACAAGCGCAGAGAATTTGAGCCATTCAAGTACTGCAATAGTTCACTTCTTGGAGGAGTAAAACAACCAACAAGATGTAAGAGCCAAATCTCACCCAAAATCGAGCACTGCCAAAAAGTGAAACAGTCTCAATGGAAAGAGAATCGCATATGGAGCATATATCGAGTTAACTCTATTCCACACAGCTGAATTTACATGTAAAACCTCACATCCCAGCTTAAAAGCCCACCTTAGTTTACGCAAGGAAAGACCGTCAAAATTAGGCTTCTGAAAATCAAACATGGGTAAAGCTTCTAATTCCTTGTAAAGAGACAAGTGTGTAGATGTTTGAACTCATAAAGTTCTTTGCCCACTAGAATGTATCATACTAGGGACCGTAACCGTACCGACACATGCAAACAAATATTCTTTACATCAGTTAGTATTAGAAAATGCCCACTACACTGTTCCGTCACCGGCGAACACCGTAGCGTGCCATGAACATTCAGTCAACAATCGGCTGCCGAGAATATTTTGCAGGTGTTGGCCCGCTTCGTGTATGACACGTGACCACTGTGCGCATCCGGCCTACTGCGTTGCTGTCCTGTTCCACACAAGTTCTTTTCATTTGACGAAGAGATCTGTGTTTGTGTTCTATTATATTGTGAGTGTTTGTGTCGTAATAAAAATGGAGGTTGAACAACTAATAGAATAGTTGTTGTTACTCGATTTCGTAGAGATTCGTGAATCCAGTAGCGTCTAGTGTTTTTTTTTCCCTCTTCCTCGTCCAAAATATTGGTAATCATGGCCAATTCTCGTATAGATAATTTTCTAATAGCCATATTTTATTTAACCAAGATCACTCGACGCGAAAACAAAAGTTACAAAAAGAAACGTGTTTTTAAAAAAGAAATGTATGACAGCAAAAGCAGGACGGCTACGAAACATTTTTACATACGCGTTACATACCGGTATAGAATGCGGTTCATCCGTTGCAGTGGGCATAGTAGTAACCAGAGCATTTTTTTTTTTTTTTTCGTGCCTGACACGATCCTAGTATGTTACGTTCTAGTGGGCGAAGACCTTAAACAAGTAATCTTCCCGATGATGAGAGGCAATCTTGGCGAGGAGAGCCAAAAAAATGAAAATGCCAATTACAGATGTTTTTCAAGTGTCAATAAGAAAACTAGATTGTATTTGTTAAGTAAAAATTTCCAATTAACAAACCAATAGGAATAAGACTTAATTATTCCAGTGCTGTGATTCTTGAAAACTTTCTGTCTGAAAAAAGAATCACTTTTGTCATGAAAGAGAAATGTTGCTTAAATGTGAAAACAAACACTATGTCAGCTGCTGTTTCCAAATACCAGAGGGCAACATAAATAATTTACGTATCAAGTAACGTTGCACTTTTTCTATTGGCTCAAACTTCTGATACCCCAAACCTGACAGCCAAAACACCGCATGAGAGACAGCATTAAACACACTAAATTTTGCTTTAAATATGAACATAATTCTTATGCAATAATATTGGACAGGTTTTGTTTATAGCCATTTCAGCTGCTGATGTCTTCCTTCATAAACATTTTGACCAAAAAAGTTGAGGCATATTACACAATATACCAATAATAGTTCAACAAGAGGACAATATTACTCATAAATATTTGCACTTAATTTTTAATTAACGTTTTGGTTGAGATAAAACAGTCAGTGTCACAAGCGGGATTCGAACCCACGACCTGAATACGCCGCTGCTCTACCACTTGAGCTATCGTGACTTCAATCCACTCGCACACCAACTCCAATCTCAACCCCACCTTTTGAATTTTCCCTCCTTTTTCCTCCCTTGGTTAGTGTCCGAGTGGATCGAAGTCAATAGCTCAAGCGGTAGACAATCCCACTTGTGACACTGAATTTTTTATCTCAACCAAAACCTTAATTAAAAATTAATTAATTGAAAAGAATTTATTTGGTCAAGCGGACCACGAAACCTAATAAATGTAATATTTGTACTTTTTAACCACCTCTATACATTCACCCCTGAAGTAAAAGCGCTAAGCCTACCACACTTTCTGAACACAATAATTTTGATTTTTGTTAATTAACTGACAGATTCCATTATTCACAATAGGCATCAAACATTTTAATATTCCTCTTAAGCTCCAAAGAAGACTCTGCTAATTCCACATTCGAGAACCTGAGGAAGATCATCTAAAAACAGCCCAAATAATAACGAGCTTAGCACGCACCTTGCTGGACATTGCACTGTACCCTAAAAATTTTGACACTCCATTCTTTCCACGCACACAAGCAGAGGTTGCCAAAAACAAAGATTTGAGGATATTCACAACTTTAAAGGAGAAACGCAAATTGCATAGTTATAAAAATAGGCGTCTACGATCAACGCTATCAAAAGCAGCTGTTAAATGAACAATAAAACAGTAAGTTTTTTGCTTAGGTTTTGCCATTCTCAGACTTATTAGATTCGACAAAACAAATGTTAAGCAACCTTTTCTAAATCCCATTTGGTTTTCAATTAGTAAACCATTAACACTAACAAAGGCTTCCAACCTGTTAAGAAGTAAATCAGAAAAATTCTTAGGTACACTAGCAAGACAAGAAATACCTCTGTAGTTAGAAAGAGTGGTTCAGTATCCGTGCTTAAACATTGAAAAGATAATCGATCCACTAAATGAATGAGGAACCAAACCGGAATCAAAAATATAGTCATAATAAAAATACAGTAGAAGGTCATGGAATTCCAAAGGAGCATATTTAAAACATTCATATGGGATTCTGTCTGGGCCAGATGCCTTATGATCGTTTAGTTTATTAACTGTGAGTAATTATTTTTAAAGAAAATTGACCATCAAGAAAAGAAACACCAATTCCACATAAAAAGATTTGGCTATGCTTATGGGATTCAGGAGCACCTGAAAGTGTTAGGCCCAAGAAGTAGAAATTTGGTTACTAAAAACGAAATTCAGAATATTTAATGACCATTAATTACTGCATTTTCTTAATTGAGATAATCTTCAGGGCCTGGGATTTATGCTGAGTAATTACACATTGATACAATTACACTGAAAACAGACAATTTAAGCAGAGTACAAATACTTTGATTAAACTTAATACTGATAATAAAATTTTTGAATGACGTGTCAGTGAAGTGAATATAGTGTGAACTGTTAAAATTGTACATTTTCTTTGTAGCATGGCTGTATAGTTTTTGATGCCAATAAAAAAAAATAAAATAAAATAAACTACGTGTACATAATTTTATAAATTCATATTCAAATTTATATGTATTTGCTTAATTTAAACAATATTTATAAATCCCAGGCCCTGAAGTTGATCTCAATAAAGATCAAAACATTGGCATGTTTTTCTAACCTACGTCACACCAGACACCATCTCTCGATCTTTAAATAATCTGAAATTCTTGCCTTTAATTCTATGTGCTAACATCCAAAACTCATTAGAATCTTTTATGAGTGATAACTGAGCGGCAGTTTGTGAAAAATGATCCTTTTTCTCTCTCTCTCTTTTTTTTTACAAATATTTTTATAGCACACATTTGCTCTCAACTGAAAATGAATTCTTTTATTTAACTAATAGAACAGCCATACTTGATGCGAGTCATGCCTTGGTTCCATATAGAGAGTGTGTAGGCATGCCGCCAGACTTAAGAAGAGTTCTCGAACACAGTAGCGAGTTTCAGAGTCCCTTGTTTTGCTTTTTAGGGGAAATTGGTTTTTTTTTTTTATTGTATATGATATCGCTTATGTGTTGTGTCTATGTTTCGTCTGAGTGCATGTATTTATTAGCATGAATGGCAAGGGGTGAGGGTGAAATATAACGTCATCATCGCCCTTCGAACGTAGAGAGCGTAAGAGTGTGTGTCCGGGGTCGATGGCGGAATATTTATAAAAGTATTCCATCGACCCCAATCTAGATTAGCTTGAGTATAGGTCGGTGGAGGAATATCAAGTAAGTTTATTTGTATGAATGTAGTGGTTGAAAGTGTAAATAGAATATAGACTTAGTTGGGGGCTGAAATGATGTCAGAAGCCCCAGTAAAAAAAACAAAAAAACAGCTATACTAGAGATTAAACGAACTCACTTGTTGGTTAGCAGGACTAAGCGAGGACACCCTCTTCTCCAGAGATTTCCTATTTAGCATTTCCAGCGCCAATTTTTTCCCATCCGCCTCGTCACCACTAGATTCGAGGCCTAGGACGGCTGCTAGGTTATCCGGGTTGGATGTTCCATTCTGTACGATTCTGTTTCGATTGTAACCTGCTCCTCTGCCTCTAGCTGACTTTTTGATAATTCCACTCATGCCGCCGGCTAGAAAAACCGAAAACCGTTAAACAAAAACCAAGTAGGTATAAATCATATCTATATACCTTTATTGTAATATATGCGGCCTCCTAAGCTGTCTTCACTGTCCGTTTCGAACTCGCTCTTCAGCCTCTTTAATACACCGTCATCCTCATCTTCAGAATCTGTAACTGGAGCTCTCCGTTTTACTGCAAAAAGAAGTAACGTTTTATAAACAAATAATAATAACAAAATAACATTTAGTTTATTTTGTGACATGATTATTTAAAACTTGCTTACATGTTTCAAGTTCAGCATCGTCAGGTTTAATAGACCCACACCATGCCTTAACCTGATTTAAAGCTTTCTGTTTACTGTAACGTACAGGCCGCCTGTAATAAAATATGTGATTAGTACTATATGTTGGAATATGGTAGATTATGCTAACGTTTAAAATAAATTACCCGAATGAATTTAATCCACTGGGCCCGGGTTGCTGCTGAGTCACTTCAGTCTTTTTCGCTACAGCCACATTTGTAGGCTTACTGGCTGGCTTGGATGCAGACTGCTTTGAAAGGCTTTCTTCAAACGCCTTTAACAAGTGCTGGCATGCTTCCAAATTTTCTGCAGGTTCCCAGGTATTTTGTTCACTTTTAAAAGGAGAAAAAAAATTAGAAAAGAAGAAATGGATAATAAGGAGAACAAAAAAACTTACGACGGATAGCCTTCCCATTTCAACAGGTACTCGTATTGCTTCTTCCTTGGATTGAATCGCCTCGATACTATCTTTTCTACTACAAACTCCTCCTCTTGAACTGTGTCCATTCCAATGACGCCCTCCTTGGTGGAAGGCTTGAAACCAAACAATTAGTAAACAACTAAAAACGCCTGAAATGTTGGTTTTGGAAATTAAAAGATCTGATACTCATAAGAGGGCTATTCAACAGAAACAAATTAATACTTCTTATTCTTCTTGTTCTTCATTCTTGACTCACTTTAAGCTTATTTAAATCTTTAATATTAATACTCCCTTTTGCTTTACAATTATTACAATAAACCAACAATGGTTTAAAAAACAAACAAAAAACAGTTTATTTAAATAATAAAACTGCGAGTCGATAGTTAACTTTCAAAACCAACGGGTTCATGCACTACTTTTTCTTTCTTTATCAAACAGTGGGTTAAAGTGTGACAATCCTTTTACCTTAACCCTCAGGAATTTTTGGAAGCTGATTCTTGGAGCTTCAGCTTCAAAGGAATCCTGTAAAACAAGGCCCACATTATTTTCATAAACATGGGCGATAATACAGGAGAAACATCGGTCGGCCTTTGCCCATGGGAGGGAAAATGACCTTTATTTAAATTGAATTGCATTGAACTTGATACACAACAATGACTCGTTGAATCATTAAAAAACGTTTTCCTTGGAAAATTGAAAAACATTTTACATTAAAGCTTTTGATTTTTCTTTCTTTCAAATTTCCTACGATAGCACAGTGTTAAAAAAAAAGAGAACCGATCTAATTTGGGTTTCACAGAATGATATACATGGTAGATAGCACAATGCATTGATGACCCTCCACATCAAAACAAGTTTAAACATTGCTTTTAACTTTTGGAAAGTAAGCCTGCCTTTTATTTTGAGCAAACAATTACAAAAATGCATCAATCATCTATAAAAAATGACGTTTTGATTTTTATTTTATTCCTCGTTAAATTTTATTCTTACACAATTTGAAATTTGAAAATAGTTAAAAGCTATTAGTGGTGCAAAATGGCCAGCTGGCATTTTATACATTAAAAATTATATTCACTAATTTCGTGGTCCGCTTGACCAATTAATACATTACAATTAATTAAGGTTTTTAGTTGAGATGAAAAAAAAGTTAATGGCACGAGTAGGATTCGAACCCACGATCTTCGGCTAGATACGCCACTGCTCTACCACTTGAGCTATCGTGACCTCGATCCACTCGGACATCAACTTCCCATCTCAACCCCACCTTAAGAGTTTTCCCTCCTTTTTGTCATTTTTCAAATGTCGTGTAATCGGATTGGATTCTCGACGACAAATGAAATGGCCTCGGAGAGCTTTAGTGAAGTGTACTTCATATAATTCATTAAATTCACTAATTTCGTGGACCGCTTGACCAATTAATACATTACAATTAATTAAGGTTTTTAGTTGAGATGAAAAACCTTAATTAATTAAAAATTATAATAGATAGAAAGCCAATGATTAAGTAGCTATGTGATTTTAAATTTTATTAGGGCAAAACTTTCCAATCAAGCTATGAATCTTTGTTCTTAATAATTTGTTGAAGAGCAGTCAGGAATTTCCCGATGTTTCGACCTTTATTCGGGTTATCTCCAGGGCTTGGATGAATTACAAAACGTACGTTGATTATAAAAGAATACACTGAGCCAAGTATTTCATATTCACATAAAGTGTGGATATTCTTGTAGTGTAGTACTTGTTTCGTGTGAAATTGTTGTGAAACATCAATTTGTATTCTGCTGTTTTTATATGATTGTGACAAGGTGGAAAACGCGGTTAATCTGGGAAATTTTCTTTGATCGTAACCAGTTTATTTGACTCAAATGAAGTTGAGAATGGGGATTTTCTGGATTGGATTTGTGATTCAGATCCAATGAGCATATGTTTTTTTAATTCACCCAGGCCGTGGAGATGATCCAATAAAAGTCGAAATTTCAGTCAAAAAATGAAAAAAAAAAAAAAAAAAAGTGTTTTTCTTAAACACTTCATTATTGACCGCTCCTCACTTTTTCAAAAAATTATTGAACAATCCATCACTAAAAAACACTTTCTTAATAATTTTTATAAATATGCCTCACCAAATCTGTAAGTTTGTCTTGAGAACTGTCACCATCCTCCAGTTGGTTCCTTATATTTTCTATATCTTCGTGTATTTCTATTTAAAAAAAAATAAAAAATAAAAAAAATAAACAATATAAAAATTATAGATATTGATAAGAGTTGCAATACTTTTGTTGTTTGAGGGTGCAGTTGGCCTGATCTCTTTTATCTCTCCTGCTGGATCTCTCTGGACGAGTTTTCTCATAACAACAGGCTTCCTTCCGTCTTCTTTAAGAATAAATTTTTATTAAAAAACCAAATTTCATTAATTTATTTTTATTTCTAATTGACTCACCTTCATTTGTTTCCATAATGTCGGATTTCTGATTTTCCCCTGGTTTTTTGATAGGTGTCTTCAAGACAGATTCTCCTGTTTTTGAATAGCCGAAGGTGCTGAAATTCATCACCGTCTCCCCTGCGGCGACCCAGGCTTCTCTTATCCGTGAAGGCATTTTGCACCATTTCTGGTACAACTTCCATGAACTTTCCGTAGATGGAGTTCCGGCTGAAAAAGCAAATACGAAAAATCAATTTAGCCTTCCATTTATAATTTGATGGTACTTATACTTGAAAAACCAACTCACTCTTTTGACTTAATTTACTCTGTGCATTTTTCCAGAGGAGGAAAGCCCAGACTTGCGATTTTGTCTCGGCAATGTTCCCATGGAAATTCGACTTTCCCTTACAAATCGGCTTGTGCATTACAAAAGCATCCACAAAATGTACAACTTGGTGACATGATCCACAAACTAAGATGTCAAGCACCCTGAGTTCTTCTTGTGCAACTAAAAACACAAAATATCTTCTTTAATACAATATTATTGTTAAATAATTGTTATAACAAAAAAATAAACCTTTCATGTCTTCCATGTTGACTTGAGGGTTGGATTCTTCAGGCACTTCAGATTCAGTTTCAGTTTCGTGCTCATGCTCATTTTCTTGCTCAGGCTCATGCCCTGGCGTGACTTCAGGCTCAGGCTGTAAGTCATGTACAGGGCCGAGCTCGACATTTGTGATGATTGGTTTCAAATCATCTTGAGGGAGCGGGAGCGGGAGATCCTTTGGTTCAAGCAGATTCTCAATGTCAACTGTGCTAACAGCCGATGAATCGAGGTTCGGCATGTCCTTCATCTCCTCGACTTCTTTCAACACCTGCTCCTTGACTTCCGAGAGGATGAGATCATTCTCAAGCAAGTCAGGCTTGGACCCCTCACTCATCGTCGGTACGATCTGTAGGCCCTTGGGTAATTCCTCTTCTACCTCCATGGGCTTTTCCGGTTGCGTGTCTGTAGAAATCTGCTCGGGTTCGACATGAGGAGGTGCCTGTCCTTCGCCATCCTTTTGGAAAATCTCCAAACTGATATCACCCACCTCCTGACCCACGTCTGTTACTATAGCTGAAAACAATCAAATCATTACTTTAGTATTTTTAAATTTATCTTAAAATCACCCAAGGATTTTATTTCAGTGGTTTCATGAGAAATGTAACAACAAACGTTTTTGCAAGGTTCTATGGCAGAATTAATGTTTAAATAAAAACTGGTCTAAAGTGACAAGTATTAAGAAAATAAAAAAGGTAAATTTTAATTCTAACAAATGAGGCAATTTAAATGAAATTTTATATTTTTGTGTGTAGAAAAGACAACAATGAATATGTTTTAAAAAGTTACATCAAATTTAAAAACACGTTTTGCATCATTTTCAAATGGTTCATTGTTTCTGGTTTAATTTTTGTACAAATGACTATGTTATTAATTTTATATTTTGTGCAATATTGTGAGATAATAGACGACCATCTCTGATCATTCTGGCCTGCCTATTATTGACGGTTTTGTTTGACAGCCCCAATTCCTTTAGCTGGCTTTATCAGTTGTTGGTCTTTCTTTTTATGTACTTAATCCCTTTCACCAGTAATACAATACTTTATATTGTTCGTTACAATTTAAAAGAGGAAATTCAATACCTGACAACAAAATATTTACCATGGGTAGTAACATTTTGCTACACTCTACTAGTGTTTTCTAATGCAATAATAAATAAGTCATCATCAGAAACTAATTCTTTTGAGACTCAGCAAAAAACACTCGATAAATTTTTGCCTTAAAAATCCTTACAAGTGTCTTAAACAATAGACAAAAAGTTTGTCATATTCCCCTTGAAAAACAATTCTTGAGATATCTTGTACTGCTGGATCTAAAGGGCTGGAATTTTGATAGTGCATTCATATAATGACATGGGTAGCTGTTAAGAAAGGAATTTTTGAAATTCCATCCCCATCTATATACACAAAACAATTCCTTGACTGACTGTCAAACAACACACAGACCAAACCCTCGGAGCTGAAATTTTAACTTGCTGATTATAATGACATGGACAGCCGCTAAGAAAGGATTTTTTAAATTCCCAGTTTATCTTCTAGATATATAAAACAGTTCTGTACTGACTAACAGACAATGCACAGACCAAACCGCTGGATCAAAAGGGCTAAAATTTTGACTGTGCATTCCTTTTCCATACTAGCACTCTGCATCACATTAGAAAGGTACATTAAAACAGAGTTTTGAACAGTCAAAGCAGCGGGTAAAAGCTAGTACTAGAATAATTGCGAATAAAAAACATTTATAAATAAATAAATTATTTAATAATCCTGCCAAATGATCTTGCCAGAATACTTGCACTATTTCTCTTTTTATTTTGGCATGAAGTTTGCCAATTGATAGTATTATTAAAATTACTCTTTTTTTTTTATTCCTTTTTACAAATAAAACAATACATAATACACAATTCATTAGACTTTTTTTTAAAATGTATTAAGTTATTTTTAGCATTCTCTTTCAGGTAAGTCATGCAGTAATTCTAGACCCTTGGGGCAAAACTGGATAAGTCAAAAAACACAATATTTCACGATTGCAATCTATAAATTTATACCTTTGGCATACTCTTATAGTCAAGTTTTGTAATAATTTTTTTGGTTATTGTGCTCCCATTTCATCAAATTGGATTTAGTTGCCCTAATAAATTTTTTAAATTTAATTATACCTTGACTTTTTGGTACTGGTAATTTGGGCACTTGCTGATTATCGTACCGTCACTAATGCAGTTATTCATGTACACCTTCAATTTTCTTAGCGGGTAAAATGGGATGTCAAGTTAAAAACCACCATACTTTAAGCGGCCCATAGACGGTCAATATTATTGTACAATATAGATTGCACAATAATTTGACGGTTGCCCCTTAACGTTCACTAATATTGTACAAAATTTTGTTTGTGCAATATTTTCCACTTGTTGATACTTCACAAACTGACTGATATTGCTCAATAATGCCAACAGACGGTGCAATATTTTCCAGGTTGTACAATATATTTTCAACTTTTCGTCTATCATGCAATGTATTGCATAAACTTTCAATATCGTCTACACACGATCAATTAAATTGCACAACCCAAAATATTGTGCAATAATATTGATCGTCTATGGACCGCTTAACAAGTGAGATAACAGCAACCTAGACAAATATTCAGTAGAACATAGTTAAATACATTTAGTCTATTTCAGTATATGATTTATTCAGTGGAACTAAGGTGGCTAAGTGGTTAAGGCGCCCGACTCGTATTAGCAACATTAGCAGTTCTGGGCTGGAATCCCAGCAGAACCCATGTCTTTTTAATTGATCATAGTATGAAAAATGTATCGTAAAGTGGTTTGACCCTCATCTGCTATGTCAAACGGGTATTTGGATGTTAATCCCTCCTGTACGATAAGAATTACTTTAATTTTATATGTTATTCAAGTTTACAAATATACGAATAGTCAAGGGGAATTATCAAAATGTTAACATATCTTTTCAAGATGTGTAAAAAGGTACATTACATTTAAAATGAAATAGTTTTTCTTCTTGACAATGTCAGGCCTAAAAACTTACTGGAATATGGTTTTATCTCATTTTACCAAAATTTGACTTATTCAGTTTTGCTCTGAGGGTGAATTCATAACAACGAAATGAACAATGAACAGAAACAACGAAATGCCGAATGAATTTGTCAATATTTCTTTTAATGTGTCTACTTTGAGATGGAACCTCATCATGGACTGTTTGGGTAAATTAATTGTGTATGTATTTATTTAAACAATCCAGAACGAATTTGTCAATTTTTTACTTTCAATCAGAGAATAAAAGAAATAAATGCCAAAGTTACTCAAATAAAGATGACGCAAAGTTGAAACGTGTTTGAGTTAGTGTATCAGCATCAATCAGTTAACATGTTCACAGACCAACAACCACAAGAATTTAAAATCCAAATGCTTAGTTTTCTCTTAGGTTTGTCATCAACAATGATTTTAAATCTTAAGTAACTATTTTAATGTTAAACTTGGTACAGTTGTAATCCGTACAATCCTTTTTAAAAAGATGGTTCCTGCTGTTGCTTGGTTGTCACAATTGTAAAATACTTTTTCAATTAATTAATCTTTATGTAAGGTATTGGTTGAGATGAAAAAGTCAATGCCATGAGTGGGATTCGAACCCACGACCTTCGGCTAAATATGCCGCTGCTCTACCACTTGAGCTATCATGACTTCCGATTCATGAAGTCACGATAGCTCAAGTGGTAGAGCAGCAGCATATTTAACCGAAGGTCATGGGTTCGAACCCTGCTCGTGGCCTTGACTTTTAGGGATGGTTATCTCTTTTAGGGATGGTCTTTATCTCAACTAATACCTTACATAAAGATTAATTAATTGAAAGATGTTATTTGGTCAATCGGACCACGAAATATAATGGATTGTAAAATACTGTGTAACTTCATTAATGAGGGTAAACAAAACAAATTTATTTAATCTGATAAAATTTCTAAACGCATTTTAATTTTCTATTTCATGTATTGACTGCATTAATGATTGTAGTTTTGCTGTTCAAATGACATAAAAAGACTAAAAGCTTAACTATTTCTTAGATTTGGTATCAACATGATAATACACTGATGGACAAAATTAATGCACCACTGTTAAATTTTAATTTATTTAGGTTTATTCATATTTTGCATACCAAAAATAGGCTTGGCTGTAAAAACAAGACATTTAAAAAAAAATTTATTACCTAATTCTAAAAAAAATTAATCGAGTTAAAAAAAAGTAAAAATACTTTTTTCTCCCCTTTAATACTGAGTATTTCCACCTCTGGGATGAATCACATCCGTTAAACGTGTTTGCATTCCTTGGAAAAGATTTCTGGTAAAGTCCAGAGGATGGTTAGGCATGGTTCTGGAATCCGAATCTGGAATGGAGGAATTCTTTCCCCTTCATCAAGAACAGCCATTTCCAACTCTTCTAGAGTGTTAAGACCTGGGTTTTGCCACCGTACTCATCGCATAAGTTGGTCCCAAATGTGTTTGATTGGGACTTCGAGGTGGCCATACCAAGCACTCAATTCCAACCTCATTTAGGTAGCCGATCTGTGATTATGTCTTGTAATTATCACCGGATTTTCCTTGCACAACTAATTCGATGCGAGCGTTCAAATAAATGCCACTCAGAACATACAAGACACACTGTGGAATGCCACCTGATGAGCCATACATCATGGGGCATACCTTTCTCCTGAGTGCCTCCATATGAAATTATGTCCATCTGATGATTTGAGGCAAATTCTCGCCTGTAAAAAGAACATGTCGCCAATCTTCCAATGTGTGAATTGAAAAGGGAAGGTCCACAAACCGAGAGTCGGGCCCTGAGGTTATTTGCATTAAGTCTTCTTCTTACAGCCATGGAGGAAATCGAACCTTTTGGATTGTCTTATCAGATTCTTATCTCATTTCCCTTAATGATGTGGTTCCTAGAGATTGATGATGGTCCATATACGTTGGTTGACCCCGTTCTGGCCTTCAAGTAGGAAGCCCCGTTTCTTTGAAGCGCCATAGAACCCTTCCTATTGTTTTCGACTTCACGCAGGCTGTAGTAATGTTATGTCCCTGACACTCATACTCACTCAAATGCCTGACGGAGCGATGAAAAAAGGTTTAAGAAAATATCAAATGAAATCAACGACGGAAAACAATTAACTGAAAGCAACCTTTAGACGCAGCAGAACAGTGGGCGTAATGCTACTTTCTGTGCAAATGGGATTAATCAGTACAAAAGTAAACAAAGCATTATTTATGTTTATTTTGACTGCGATAGCTCCTAATTACCTGTAACTTATGTACAAAGATAATGGATTTAATTTTAAACTAAATAAATTGAATGGTGCTTTAAATTTGTCAATCAGTGCAAACTTTTGTTAAATGTCAAAAGACATGTTCTTTTATTTTGAGATGTTCACTTCTTTATCAATATTTGGAAAATGTGAATAAAATAAAATGTAACGAAAAGTGATAATAAGAAATTTGAGTTAAGAGGAGGTTGTTGATGTGTTTGTTTGGTTGAAAGGATGTTGATTGTGTAAAGTCGGAAAACCGCGCTTTTTCTAGTTTTGAGGTCAAGACAAAGTCGAGTCGGCGGCCAGCCGCTGTCGATCCTCCACGTGTAATTCTCGATACGGGTACAAATCGTAAATAAAACTCACCTCCAACCTCTCCTCCTTCGGTCGAGTTCATGTTCGACGGGCCGGCAGCATAAAGACGAGATCAAAACGTTGACATGAGCTGGTCCGCGGTTTTAGGTTAGCACGGTTTTCTGCAAAACAGACAAACGCACAACTTCATATGAATTTCTGTTTATGAGGTTTATCGTAGGCGAGGGGGCGAGCGGAGGGATGTTTGTTTTCCTAAATGAAAGTACCTTCGCACGGGAAAACGATTACTCTCGGAAACAAGGGAGGTTTTAAACGGGAGGTCGAATAAAGGCCCATGGCTTTTTAAATCGCGACCCGGGGCGAAAATCAGCCGCAGAAGAAACAAAACGAACACCGTCGAACAGGTCGAGACTCAGCCGACGATTTTTCCGTCGAAACGATTTTCAGCCGATTGGAAAATTCTGGCTAGTCAACGCGTCGGGAAGGCGGATCGCGATACATGGCGCAGGCAAGGGGATTTCGGCCCCCTCCGCTCCCCTCTGCAAAAATAATCTGAATGTTTCTTTTACCAGTGTCTTCCGGCGAGCTGGGCCGAGTCGCTGGCGTGCTTTTTTAAATAAATCCACGTGAAATCTGACTGAGACGAGCCACAGTAGAGAAATACGCGATGAAAGGGCGAAAAAGCGTCGTATCAAGCGATCCCAGCGCGCGACTGCGCCGCTCGACGACGAGCGCAACTAGCGGACCGAGCCCTTTGGCGCTTGATTCGATTCGAACCGGTTGCTTGCCTCGAGGACGGATCCGCGAGACAAACGGCCTTTTACAGACGAACTGAGACTGAAAGGAAACGGCCCGAAGACAAGTCAAAAACAGATCGGAACAACAAGTCGGATGGTGAACTTTTTGGGTCCTCCGGGTGTCGCTCTTCCCTCCCACCATATCGTGTAACCTTCTCAGTTCTCGGGAAGACAACACGTACGACGCTAGTTTTCACAGCACTTCGCTTCCCCGATAGTGATACTGGTCCTGGAATGGCGACCGCGGAAGACGACGATGTCAAGGAGTACCGCTGGGAGACCGGCTACGAAAAGACCTGGTAATTAGTAAAAAACCCTTCAAACAAAAACAAAGATTATTATTTACCTCTTCAATACTTCCACCATAGACTATTTTTGCCTTTAATATCCAGTTTTTTCTTAAGTATAGTTAGTAAAATTTAAAAACATTACAGAAAAATTGTGTTCAGGTTATTGATTTAAACAACTTTACCTTGATTTGTCACCTTTGGCTGTTCACATTCTTGTAAAATTTTGGGCTATGTTTAAGCGCATTCTTAGTATTCAAGTTTAGTTGATCAACCGAAGTTGATTGAAATCTGTCGTAAGGACCTTCGGCTCGACTGAGTTTTAACCGGTCAAATTTTTGATGTTCAAGTCACGAGTCATCCCTTCTAAGTTGGAACGTGAATTAAGCTCGATTCATATATACCCCACATAGTGTGTCCATCATGTGACATTGCACAGACACAAGTTTTCACACCACAGACGCTGACCAACAAATTAGAGAGTTGAATGCAAACATACATGTTAAAAACTTTTCAGTTGAATAATTAGATGTGATGTAGATGTAATAGTCGGGGTTTAGGAGCTATTGTATCCTCCGTACTCTGCCTAAAGTACACGGATACAAGGATACTTGATTAATAGGCCCATTTTCAATGGTTGAATCTCTTCTGTGGTCACATTGTACATCCCAAAGCATTTCCTCCTGCGGGTAAGTGTAGCACAGCTCACCCAAAGAGCACTAAACCTGGTGGAGCAATGGTGTTTAAAACAGGGACTTCAAGTCAAAAGCCAGCCCTCAAAAACCACCTTAATCGCTTTCACCAAGAAAAGAAGTATAGAAATACAAGGATTATGCTTCTATAACCAAATGCTGCTATTAAAAAATGAGGTCAAATATCTAGGAATAATCTTTGATAAGAAATTAACCTGGAATCCTCACCTGCAACATACTATAGCAAAAGGTAAAATATCGCTAATGACCACAAGAAGGACATTAGGAAAATCTTGGGGGCTAAAACCGAAAATGGCCTATTGGCTATACACGGGAGTAATAAGACCCAGAATAACTTATGTATCACTAATCTGGTGGGACAAAGCTCAACAAAAAGTAGCTACCCAAACATTAGGCAGCATACAAAGACTAGCAAACCTATGTATCACAGGGGCGATGAGAACAACCCCTACAAACGCATTAGAAACTTTGCTAAACTTACCTCCACTGGAAATATTCATACAAAGAGAGGCTAGGAAAAGCTCACTTAGACTCCAGAAACAATTAAATTGGAAAGGAACTAAACAATTCGGGCATACAACCATAACCAAAAAAATCAGACACCCATTATTAGAAATGGGGACTGATTACATGATCCCGGAAACAATCTTCACAACTTTCTATAAAGTCTCAACGGACTATAAAGGAGAGGAAGAACACAGGAGAGCATCAGATACAATGATATGGTACACAGATAGCTCCAAAACAAACGAAGGAACCGGATCAGGCGTTTTCTGTACAAGCCCAAAACATGAGCAATCAAACTCATTAGGGAAGTACACTTCGGTCTTTCAAGCGGAAATACATGTTGCTTGTGCCCTGGAAAATCTTAAAAGAGGTTGCACTGACAAAAAAATCCTCATAAGATCAGATAGCCAAGCAGCTATTAAAGCATTAGCATGTAAAAGAATCACATCAAAATTAGTCAGTGAATGCATCCAAAATCTCCAAAACCTGGGGAAATACAACAACCTGATGATATCTTGGGTGCCAGGGCACAGGGGAATTTTGGGTAATGAGAAAGCAGACAGACTGGCCAGGGGAGGATCTGCAAGACCATACATAGGCCCCGAACCTATTCTTGGGATAAAAAAACAAACAATAGAATCCTCCATCGCAGAATGGATCCAAGCAAAACAAAAGGAGAAGTGGATAAACTCTAGCGGTGCTAGACATAGTAAACTTATGATGAAACAACCCTCACCGAGACTGGCAAAAACACTGCTGCAATTGGAGATGGCCAAACTCAGAGGAGTGGTAGGACTACTAACCCGTCACTGGCATCTGAGAAAACATCTGCACAACATGGGTATATACAGCGATGATCCCATTTGCAGATTATGTAATGAGGAAGAGAAAACAGCCACCCACAACATCTTCGAATGCGAAGCAACAGCTCAATGGAGGTTTAACCTAACGTACGGAAAAGACTTAGAGAATCAAATTGCAGCAGCAACAGTCAATGATCTGATACTTCTAAGAAGGATTGAGTCTATCGACTGTACTAAGGAACTAGGAAGGTACAATAAGCCGGAAGGCTGCAGTGCCTGGGGAGTACAAACCCCACTTCTTAGTAACCTTTTCCACCATACCAAGTGTAGCACCACAGTTTGTTAATAGGTGTGTAGGTGTCTCCTCTGCAGAATCTGCATATGCCATCCTGGATTATTCCAATCTTCTTTAAATGTCCATTTAGTTTGCAGAGCCCTGTTAAGAATCCTGTTAGAATTCGCAGTTTATTCCTGCTGACTTGGACACATTCTGTGATTTCTTTTCTTCCGAAATTTGTTAGGATATTCTTGGATTGCCTGTTCCAATGAGTGAATTCCATTGTTCCTTCATTTTCTTTTTGTCCTTATGTCTGAGATACTCATTGATAGTGTGGGTTCCAATGGCACAGAAGGGTTCGGGTCCTATCAGCGGTGTAGCAGATTCTTGCCTTGCAAGGGAGTCCGCTTTCTCGTTGCCTTCTACTCCCATGTAGAAGCTGACTTTGTTCTGTGTACCTAATATGTTTAATTTGGTTTTGCAGTTCAACACCATCTTTTAAATAAGAGATTTGAGCTTAGTGCTTTGATAGTTGCTTGGCTATCTGACATGATAGCTATTGTTCTCGTTTTTGTACCCTTTAGTCAAGTTGAGTTAGTCAGTTAGATGTGATAGCAATAATTTTACTTGAAGATGAAGAAGGAAGTGTTTTTGTAGATTTATAGATCAACTTATGCAGATAATGTTCTCTTGGTTGTTATCAGGGATGAGGTCAAATAAAATATTTTCTTTGTCTAGCTTTCAGAACTTTATTGTACCTTCTTCAGGGCTTGATTTTTAATCAGAAGTATATAAACTTAAATTCTTTTTATTTTCTTGTTAACACTGAAAACCTTTTCACTTTTGTCTTCCGGTTGCTAGCCTCGAGGACAGATCCGTGAGAAAAAACGGCCTTTTACAGATGAAATGAGACAGAATGGAAATGGCCCAAAAACAAATCAAAAACAGTTCGGGACGACAAGTTGGATGGAATGACTAGACTAGTTTTATATATCACAGACAGTAAGAATAAAAACAACAATGACTAGTGTGAGGTCCACCTTACAAATCCACTGCTTTTGGTTGCTCCTTCCTTAACCTTTGGACTTCAATTTTGACTACAGTTCCTACAATTTAACACCGAGGATGGTTAATTTTCCCCCTTTTTATTTTATTTAATATGTCTCATTTATAGTTTTTTTGCATTTACATTTAAGTGCTTATTTATGTAATCATTTTTATATGAATTTTGCCAATTTTTGTACTTTTTTGTTACTCAAGGGGACCCAAAGCCAGAAGAAAATTTATTTTTTCTTCAAATTTCACCAGTGATAACCAGACATAATTATCTACAATCACTTAAGTCATATAGAATGGAATATCCTCAAACCAATTCAATTCAATTTTTGTTTTTCATCACTACAATGTAAAAATTTCAAAATAAAAAATATTCACTAATGCCACAGGCACGCACCACTTCAGATAAAATAATTCATATTAAGAGTGCCAATGCTACAGACATGCACAGACACATGCCAGCACAGTTCAAATATTATTTACAACTAAATTCACTAATTTTCGTGGTCCTCTTGGCCGATTAATATCATTCAATTAATTAAGGTTTTTAGTTGAGATAAAAAAGTCAGTGTCACGAGCGGGATTCAAACCTACGACCTTCGTCTTGAATTTTCCCTCCTTTTTCCCATTTTTCAAAAAGGTTCAAAAGGTGGAGTTGAGATGGGAAGTTAATGCCCGAGTGGATCGAAGTCACGATAGCTCAAGTGGTAGGGTAGCAGCGTATCAAGCCGAAGGTCGTGGGTTCGAATCCCGCTCGTGACACTGATTTTTTTATCCCAACTAAAAACCTTAATTAATTGAATTATTTACAACATTACTGGCTCAATAGAAATGATGAATGATGGAGGGAGTGCGGTATTCAATCCTTTTTTAAAAAAGGATTACTGGCTCAATTCCTGTAAATGTGAATGTAGATAATATATGTAACAATTTCTGTGTGACTTAGCTGGTACATGCTGGAAACGCTGCCTGTTGGTATATATAAATCAAGATTTAGCGATGGACTTGAAATGTGTGATCTTCTCAAAGTTCTTGACAGTTCCTCTCTGAAGATGGTGCATTGAAAAAGCACGTTTGAGTAGACCTCACAAGTGACTCAGTATCAGTTCAGCATGAGTTGCAGCCCAATTCCTAGCATCACCTCTGGTTGTGTTTCCTGTTGAACTTTTACAATAGGAGTGATTTTTTTAAACCCATCCACCTCCCCACTGTACCTAAGGGAGACCCCATACCGGCTGACCATGGCCACTAAACAGGTTCCTTTGGTATGTAAAATTAGGGGATCTTACTGTACTTAACGGTTTCCACCAACTTTGCCTAAAAGGTGAGGCCCGAGGAAGGTAGGGAAATATTTTTCTTATTATCATGTTACGTATTCTAATAGTTCTTCTTGCTGGTTAATCATTTTGAAAATATTTTCAATAAAACTATATACATAATATTTTAATAAATGTGGGAATAAGGAGTAACCAGCCTGGAATTAAAAGTTCAGGATAGCGCTAAACTTAATTATCACTAAAAATTAATAAACTAGTCAGGTACTACAGCTCAGCTAACAGACAAGGGCCTCAAAGGTGTTCTTTTTCTTTGATCAGTTAATTGAGGTGACCGTACAGCAGAAGAGCAGCTTTAAAGAGTCTCTCGCACTCTCTTAGAGGTGACAATTGAACAGTGTGCTGGCAATTTTATCATAAACATTACTGCCTTTGGAATTTCCGGATTTTTTATTGCAAAATTAGGTTCTTTTTATAAACTTTCGCATCTTTTGAAAAGCAATGTTTTATTTTATAAAAGCCTCCATTCACAAACAGTATCGTTTGTACAAGGTCAATAGCATAACTTTATGAGAATTTAAAAAAAATCTGTTATTGAATTTGATATTTTAAAGGGAGGCAATTAAAGAAGATGACAAGGGCAACCTTGAGGCGTCTGTCACGGACATTATACAAAGGGCAAAACGAAAGGCCCAGATGGAAAGAAAGGGCCCGTGCAGGCTTGGAATGATGAGGCATATGTATATCATTCTCGATGCTTCAGATGCCATGCTCGACCAAGATCTCAAACCAACTCGTCAGCTTTGCACCCTCAAGGTATAAATGTTTCATAAATTAATTTTCGAATTAATGCCTGTTCAAATAAACTTTTTTTTTCTTTTTTCTTAGCTGCTTGAAAACTTCACGGAAGAATTTCTTTACGAGAGTCCTCTCAGCCAGCTCGGCTTTATCCTGACAAGGAACAAACGTGCAGAAAAGGTTTGTTGATTCGGTTCAACAATTTACCTTTTTTTTTAAACTTTTTTTTTTATTTGTGCGTAGTTTTCAGAATTGTCTGGTAATACAAAAAAACACCTGGAAAACCTGAAATTGCACTACAGCTCACCTACGGCGTGTTCTGGTGAGCCTTCTTTGCAAAATGCACTGGAATTGGCTATCTCTTCGCTTCGCAACATGCCAAACCATGCCATCAGGGAGGTCTTGATTATAATGGGTAGCTTGACGACATGTGATCCTGGTGATATAAATGTGACAATTGATGTAATTTGGCTATATTGTTTATTAAATGTCTGAAACTAGCCTTTTTTTTTTGTCTATCACTTGTAGTTTATACATGTAAACAATTGAGAAAAATTATATGCTACTTTGGTCACAAATTCAAGTTTAATAAATTAAAAGTTATTTTATTTTGAATTTCAGACTTTAAGAAACACAGGAATAAGAGTTTCAGTTATTGGAATAGGTGCTGAAGTAAGGCTGAGAAGGCACATGTGCCTCATGACAGGAGGGACTTATTCTGTGATGCTCGACGATGTACATTTTAAACACTTGCTTCTACAGCATGTCTTGCCACCACCTGCTACACCGTCAGCTTCTGAAAGCGCATTGATTAAAATGGGCTTCCCTCACCATGGAGTGACTAATACTAAGACTACATCGATTGCCATGTGCATGTGGTATGTCACATAACACTTTATTTTTTAAAATTCCTTATTAATGAATTATTTCACAGCCATTTAGATGCAGAAGAAGGTAGTAAACTGGAAGGCGGCGGTTACCTGTGCCCGCAGTGCAGGAGTAAATATTGCGAGTTGCCGGTTGAGTGCAAGGTGTGCGGGCTGACTCTGGTCTCTGCACCACATCTGGCTAGGTCGTACCACCACTTGTTTCCTGTCCTGCCGTTCAGTCAAATAACGTTCAAGAGCCTCAGACGAAATGAAGGATTTTGCTTTGCTTGTCTCGTCCAATTTAAAGAAATTGATAAATATGTGAGTACAAGTTTTCTTGATACCCAAATGAACAAATTTGAAAATATATTAATATGGTTTATATGGAAAAGTTTGTTGCTAATATTTTTTTTCTATCCTTTGATAAAAAAATTAGTATTTTTTAAGTGTTATAATAATGTGTGGTGATTAGTGACCGTTAGTCGATGATTATTTGGAAATCGTGAGATGCGGTCTGGTGTGATGTAGGTTTCAGAAAAATATTTTCTTTATCGTGCTGACATTTCAATCTTTCAATTAATTAAGGTTTTTATCTCAACTAAAAACCTTAATTAATTGTAAGATATTAATTGGTCAAGCGGACCACGAAACTAGTGAATTTAATAAGTTTAAAATGAAGTATACCTTCACTAAAGCTCTTCGTGGCCATTTCATTTGTCGCCGAGAATCAAATTGATTACATGACATTTGAAAAATGGCAAAAAGGAGGTAAAATTCAAAAGGTGGGGTTAAGATGGGAAGTTAGTGTCTGAGTGGATTGAGGTCACGATAGCTCAAGTGGTAGAGCAGCGCCGTATCTAGCCGAAGATCGTGGGTTCGAATCCCGCTCGTGCCATTGACTTTTTTAACTCAATTAAAAACCTTAATTAATTGTTAGATATTAATTGGTCAAGCAGACCACGAAACTAGTGAATTTAGTTTCGATCTTTATTGAGATCATCTTCAGGGCCTGGGATTTACAAACATTGTTTAAATTTAACAAATACATTTAGGATGTGGAAAAATGTGAAGTTATACATTGCAAAAAATATTTTTTTATATTCAATCAAAGTATTTCTACTCACTCAAAGTGTTTGTCTTCTCTGTAATTGTGCCATTTTTGCGTGTCGTGTTGAGAGTGCTAGTGAGATATTGCTGTTTTATGTTTATGTACGTTGGATTTTGAAGGGGTGGGGAAGGAAGTTGGTATAGAAAGACATTTTTGTATAAGTAGTTGGCTTCTTTGAGGTGAAAAGAGCAGACAAAGGAACAAGACAGTTGTGCAGAAAATAAACACTTTAAGTGAGTAGAAATACTTTAATTGAATTTAAAAAAAATATTTTTTGCATTGTATAAATTTGCATCCAAACAGTTTTATCCTGGGCAATTTTTTTTTATTTTTATTTAATACTTTTTATATTTATTTATATTCAACTGTCTCACATGTTAGAAGAAGAGTTTAAGAATATTTTGAAATATTTTTGAAGTATTTTTCTGCATAGGCATTGGCTCAAACAATTCCTCCTGGGTATATTCTATTTTCTTAAACTTGCTCACATGGTGTGAAAAAGTATTTGATTAATGTCATAAAATTAATTAACAAGTGTTTTTGCCTTAAAAACCAACCCAAAACTGCCTTAAATATAAAATCCTTACTCACCATTTATAATGAACTCTGGTAAAGAATGTTCCATTTAGGAAATTGTTCAGAAATAAATAAATTCTATATGTCAATAGAGTCAACTCCAAATTTAGACTTTGTTCTGGGGGGGGGCTCTTCTGAAAAGGTAACGAGATGACAACAGGTCTGAAGTGGCAAAATTTCCCAAGCCTGTATGCAATTTTTTGAAGTTTTGAACGAAACTGGACCTGAAGGTCACAAATAGGTCTTTTCTGTTTGTCCTAGAGGCAAAAGTTCATAGTGCATATGTTCCAGAAAAATTGTGAGTACACCTATTCTCAGATGGAGGTCAAGCTCATGTTGACGGAAAAAGAGAATTTCATAAAGGTTGTAGGTTGAAATTGGGATTTGATGTCTTGTAGGACTGAAAGTCACGATAGCCTCAGAGTATTTATCTGATAGCTGTATGTTTTTCGTTACACTAGTTTTTCATCTTAACCTTCTTTGCATAAATTGTATACTTAAGGAAAAAATGATAAATTGAGAACGTCAGTGATATGAGAAATTAAAATTATTGTAGAGCAAGTAATATCATTTTTCTTCCCTAGTGATAATTTTAAAAATGGATCTACTTGAAGTAGATGGAATGGATCAAGTTGAAAGTAATTTGAATCAGTTTTAACAAGTTTCAATAAAAATTTATAACTTTAATTTGCAAACCATTGAATTTCTTTCTTATAAATGATTGATTCTACCTATCTAAATATGGTTTTACTTCATTTTACGTATTTAGTCCATTATATTTAGTGGTCTAATGACTAAATTACATCTTTCAATTAATTAATCTTTTTATGTAAGGTTTTGGTTGAAATGAAATTGCTCGTGACACTAACTTTTTCATTTCAACCAAAAAGAAGTAAGTAAAATTTCAAAACATAAAAAGAAGTAATTTGATCAATAGACCACTAAATATAATGAAATATAAGGAAAGTTGAATCGTGAGAATGCTCAGGTCTTTTTAGACCCAATATTTTTCAAACTGAAAAACTACAATAATAAGTTTTTGAATGTTTATGTATTTTTATTATTTATTATTTCGGAATATTAGCATTTAGTATATACATAAGTGACATAAATAAAAAATTTCATATGTACTCTAAAATTTTATTTACATTATATAATTCAAATACAAATTTTCATGTGTAGGTATGATAAAAAATTTTTTCACATAATTTCATTTTCTCATAATTTTGTAACTATAACTTTATGAATACCCTACATAACAAGTATTCCATTTTTGATCACCACTGAATGTTTAGCATATACGATTTGCTTGCATTTGTCACATCTGGTAAAATGCTTATTATCGTTACCAGAGGAAAGACAGCATCGACCATCAAGAAAAACATTTTTGTTCTTCCTACCTCCAAAACTTTCAAAATATCAGAGTTAGCATCTATTTAACTCACTTTCTGTGTGAAATGGAAATGTGAGAGCTTTGGTATAAACCAGTGGTTCCCAAAGTGGTCCCCCAAGGGTCCCCAGTATCATTCAGGGGATCCGTGGAAAATTAAAATTGATTTGGGAGTCTCTGAACAACGTCGGGGGTCTGTGCAAGGTTTAATATAAAATAAATTATAATATAAAATAATATAATATAAAACAGAAGTAAGTTGGTTATCTAAAAGTGCATGTTTAAATTTTTATGCGCTCTTTGATTCGGTGTTGGAATTCCTGGAAACCAAAGACAATGATTTGCGCCACAATTTAATTAACTTAAAAAATGACATAGCCTACATGTCTGAGTTATTTGCAAATTCACTAATTTCGTCGTCCGCTTGACCAATTAATATATTACAATTTATTAAGGTTTTTAGTTGAGATAAAAAAGTCAATGGCACGAGCGGGATTCGAACCCACGATCTTCGGCTAGATACGACGCTGCTCTACCACTTGAGCTATCGTGGCCTCGATCCACCCCCACCTTTTTGAATTTTCCCTCCTTGAAAAATGGCAAAAAAGGAGGGGTTGAGATGGGAAGTTAGTGTCCAGGTGGATCGAGGTCACGATAGCTCAAGTGGTAGAGCAGCGACGTATCTAGCCGAAGATCGTGGGTTCAAATCCCGCTTGTGCCATTGACTTTTTTATCTCAACTAAAAACCTTAATTATTTGCAAAATTTAACGAAACTAATTTGAAACTACAAGGTGACCAATTAAATTTAATCAAAACTAAAAGCGTAATATCTGCGTTTGTTGCAAAACTTTTTCTTTACAAACAAAACTTGGGAAGAGGAGAATGCTCTCAGTTTCCAAATATTTCGAAATTGCAAATTAGAGATGAAAATTTCCTCGCTTACCGTCTACACTTAACGGCTCTTCATATAGACCTGAACCAAAGATTTGAAGACATTCTTCACTTGGATATTCCCGACTGGGTGTTGAACACAGTTGAATCCATACTAATACAGGAGCAGCTTATTGAAATATCCACAAATGAGGAACTTAAACCAATGTTTGAACAAGGATACCACAAATTCTTGTTACAAAAACAGATCCCAATTTTATATCCTGCATTATGGGCTATTGTACAGGAGTTGTTGACTGCTTTCCCGTCTTTCTATTGGGGAGAACGTGGATTCAGTTCCATTATAAACCTCATCACAAAAGAAAGAAACCGATTAGAAATTATATGCTCATAACATCTCATCACGTTCATCCAAGTCATTAATTTTTTTATATTTTATTTTAAACAAAAGTAATTATTATAATTTATATATTTATAATTTATAATTTCAAAAGTACTAGTTCAACAAAACGGTTTTTTAATTTGTAATTTTATATTGTTTTTTTATGAGGCTTTTTCACTTGGGGGTCCGTGGGCAATTTTTGACTATAAAAAGGGGTCCATGGGTCAAAAAAGTTTGGGAACCACTGGTGTAAACGGAAAAACCAGGACAATAGTCGAAGGGTAAGGGATTAGGGTGCAAATAATAGCGCTAAGCCAATCCTTTTTCCTACAAGAGTGAGGAATTTGAAAAATAACATACAAAATTTTATACTAGAAAAAAAAAATTATGACGTGAGCTGTGATCGGTGACAGGCATCTTTTTATCTACAAAATAGTACTAACAGTTAACATTTTTACTTCATTTGGGATTTGTTGGAACTAATCAGACCAATGTGCATTTTACTTGTTTTATTTAATTGATCGACATCTGCCTCCCCTCATCAGTCTTGAGTTTCTAAAATGTACAGATTTACTTATTATTTTACAAAACAGTTTTTTATTACAGTTAAATATTTATAAAAAGAACATTACTTTTGTAAAGTAACATTTGTAAAGTAATATACAACCTGTACATTTTAGAAACTCAAGACTGACGAGGGGAGACAGATGCCCCGAAATCGATCTCTTAAATAACGCAAGTAAAAAGCACATTGGTCGATTAATTCCTACACATCCCAAATGAAGTAACCTGAAAAAAGAAAAAACAAAGTTAGTTACATTTTTGTTCAAAGGTTTTAAAGAAAATTACGTTTAGGAAAGCCCTAATAGAGGAGTACACTAGAGGGTACATAAAAAAGAAGAAAAAAAAGATAACATAAGCAGGAAAAAAACATTATCTGTTATCGCAACAGCAACACAAGAGTTAAGTAAAAAGTAATAGAAAAATCAACAAGCTTAATGGCATCGGTTAAATTACGGTTACATACGCTTTCATTCATTTACAGTTGTCCCTAGTCGAGTTGAAAATGGGAACCTGAATGAATGAATCATTATGTATGTATGTTACTGTATTGTATTTTCCTTATCGAAAAAAAGTGAAATATTTGAATATTCATATATAACATTGAAGATACACACACACACAATACAGAAAGAGTCTCATTTGTATGCAAATAGAAGAAAATACGTCTCATTATCTGCAGTGGTGCTTGGTATATATTCCTGCAGATAACAAGAATTTATTTAGCTTTTTGAATTTTGTATTTAACTAATCACATACATATTAACAGTTCACAAGGTTAACTTATATAGGATTAGAGTTGAATACCATCTATTTAAAAAGTAAACATTAATAGTGCAATCCTAGAAAAGGTCTGGTCCGCATTAAAATCAAACCAATAACAACAACACTGAACTCATAACAAACGAGATTAGATTTAAATAATGTCAAGGCTTTTTATTCATCCTTGTATTTTATAACTCTTTCTAACTTCACATTAAACTGTACTATACACAGTTCAGTTTTTCCAAGACCCCTAAATGTGTTACATTTTTCAAATATTTATTTTAATTTTAGTTTCCTCTTAACTTTATAACTCTTAAGTTTCTATATTACTTAAGCTGATTCTTTACACAAATCAATCTGTATTTTTGTAAATTGTATGATTTTTTTTACAGATTTTCAGATGTGATACATGCTCGAGAGTTTTTTGCATTGACTGTGATATGTTTGTACATGACACACTTCACACGTGCCCGGGATGTGCAACGAACCAAAAGAAATTTCAACAGATTGATGAAAATTCTTGATTCTTTATATCAAAAATGTATATAATTTATTTAATAAAATATCGTTTACAATTTTTTTTTGTTATTTTAAATAAAAAATGTGTTTATAGAAAAACAGAAAGTAGCTTTAATTTTATTTTGTTGATTTATTTCTCTAAATTTGTGCAGAAGGGCAAAAGCGGGTGTAAGCAGTTTTATAATTATACACGATCGAATATCAAGTGGATATTTACAGTGGGCTCTCTCACTCTCCTGCATAGAAGATGAGGCTGGTTAAGCAAGGGAGAGCTATTTTGAAATAGAACCACACCCATCACCGCATGCCCCACTCTCTTTCCTGGGCAGAACAAGGTAGGAGAAAGACTCGTGAGAGGAGTGCCCCACCAAGTGAAACTGCAGCTACACAGACCTCAAAGTCCTTAAACACTTGCACTGTTAAGCATGAAAATAGTTAATTAATCTAAGACGAAACGTTGGAATTTTTAGTCTCGCAGTATTTTTTAGTCGTGAGAGGTGAGTTTGTGATCTCTGCTCAAAAATGCCTTTGGTGTTAAAAAATAGATTTTTTCAATGGTAAAACAAATTGATGAATTTAAAACTGTGTATTTGAAACTCACTATATCCAAAACATTTATTTATCTTTTTTTTACAACAGAAATTCTCGTAAGTTAAATAAAGGCAAAAAATTTACAGTCAAGTTAATACTTTACAAAAATGAAACTAAATCATCAAAACAGTTTATTTATTTATGTGTGTCAACAATTTATATGTGGCACTTTTTTCTCAGTTTTCTTAAAGCTTCTGCAATATTAATTAGATGTTTGGTTGAAAATTTGGCCATAGCATATAATTGAAGTTTTGTGATTAAAAAAAAAATATATATATATAATATAATAGATAATATTACTCTATTAACATGAAAAACATTAAGAAATACCCATTGTTAAAAAATAACTTAGTTGGGGTTAAAATAAATACAGATCAGAATTTATCAGGATGAAAGAAAATTTCAGTATTAAAATCCTTTTAAAAAAATTAATTTTTTAAAATGTAATTCTACATCATTGTTTGCATTAATCATTTATTCACTATATCCTGAAAAATTTTGTATTTGTTAAAAATGTTGTATTTATATGGTAATAATGACCATAAAAATAAATTCTGGTTGGCCTTTCACACATTTGCATGGAGTCATTTATTCTCTTAGAATTTGTATTTTATTTTTAATTATGTAGGATGATTAAGGGATTCTTAAACATATTTTTTTTAAAAACTATGGTTATCATTGGAGTAACTTGTTCATCTTTGACAATCTAGGAAAGCTGTCATGCTTGTCATACTTGACTCATCATTTGCACTTTTAAATAGCCATTTAAAACTGACATCCTACATTTTAAAATCAAGGTTTTCACGCATGAGACTATTTCTTCATATTTCCACCAATTTTAACCTTTTGTTTTGGTCTTATATGTGATATTTTTGGAAGATTAAAATTGTTATTGGGTCGAATAAAAATAAAGTTGATACTTATTTAAAATATAAATTGCCATAGTAAAACTTTTTTGTCTATTAATGTACATACATATTTTTTTTCTTGATGGAAAAATTATTAAGATGATTGCTCTATTATGTAACTAATTAATTGAAGGAATGTTGATTTTGATTAGATAGGGCTTAAAAGGTTTTCTCATTCCTTAAGATTCTTGTTTTTTTTCACTATTGTGAATAATTATATAAACCAAAATCATACAAAAGGAAAGAGAATGTTTATGCTCAGCTTCAGCTTTCATTTTAGCAATTCAATTTATTCGATTCTTTTAAGCCCAACAGTGAAATTCCGTCGAGGTTCTAGCCAGCCCATAAATAAAGCTGAGAGAGAAAGTTGAAGGAACCTTATACAACTAAACAAGCCCCTGTTAGCCTGCCTATGATTTACCAGATGAGAAAATATAAACACTTCCTCGTCTCAAATGTATTTTTAATGAATTCATTGTTTATTTTAAAAAAAATTTGTAATAAAATTCAGACCCCCTTCAAATAGAACCTGAATAATTGACGCTCATTCACAACAGAGTGTATTATAATTGTCCCAACCCAGTTATACAGTTAAAGATAAGATGCGATCAGATTTGTTTTTTTGTCTTCTGACCAGCCGTAGTATGAATGCCAAGAAAGACTTGCTCTTTGTTCACGCCTGATAAAAAGCAGATAAGATAAACTTTTAAGAAACATTTTTTGTTCTCCTTTTTGAACATATTTTTCCAGTTTGCCATGAGGATTTTCAAATAGTGTTATTACACTATACACTTGTTATTGAGAATTTTTTTTATGGTTTAATTTTTTTTGGATGGATTTGGCCTATGTGTGGTCCTGAGACTCTATTTTTAGTTAGTATGTAAATAAAGTTTAGAAGGATTGAAATAGTAATTGTAAATATATAATTGATGAACCAAACTTACCTATGATTCACATTATAGATAGCTTCACACTGATAAATACATTTCAGTCAGAGTTGCATTATTCTACTAATTGTCACTTGACATCGAAAAATACTTTTTCTAATGTAAAATTTATTGATTTTTCAAAAAGTATTTAGTGGTGCAATTTTGTACAACATGGCACTTCGAAAACAATAAAATTTACTTGGTTGGTTTTTGTTCTAGTTTCTGCTCTTACAGACAAATTGGTTAGATATTAAGAAAGATACACAAAATAAATAAAAAACAATAATTCCAAAAACATAAGGATAGAATTTTTGGTAAAGGATATGTATTATAGAGAAATATAATTATTTATTTATATTTTACTTTTCTTAACAAGGGCATTTCAACTATGAAGTTGAACCCTCATGGTTACTGTTACGGTGTTTTATGAAAAAAAAAAAAATATATAAATTTAAAAAACTCATTTCTAAGAGATTTAGAACCCGGGACCTTTACATTACAGTGATGAGCGCCATGTCAACACCTTAACAGTTGCAACCACAGAACCCCCCCCCCCAGTATAATTATGTATTCACGTATATTTTCAAAAAAGAACTTTGATGCAATGATTGACAATTTTCCTGATTGCACACCTTAAACCTGATTCAATTGATCAGATTAATTGGTGATGATTTAACGCTGAACTGTTCTTCATGGAGTTTTTTCTCTCCAGAAGAATTGTAACATGTCATAACCAGAAAGTTGAACATAACATTGCGAAAAGACTGTTTACCAGAAGATACTCCGAAGCAAAGATAACAAAAGAAAAGGCAGTAAAATCATTTAGCTGTCTAATAGTGTTAAAAATCTTGTTATTTATATGAACTAAAATTTATTTTGGAATGAATACAAATTGATAAATATATAATTGACAAAAGTTCTTATTCCCTCTTATGTGCAGAGAGTCAAGGTAAAGCCGAGAAAATAATCTTCTTATATTCATATATTGTCTTTATAGTGTGAAGAATTGTTTAAAAAATGCTGTTTATTCAAAATAAAAGCATAAAATCTCATATTTGCATGGTTTATCATAACATTGATTTTGTAAAATGAAAAGATGTTCTATCTGACAAACTGAAACAGCTAGATTTATGACCCAAAATGACCAAACTAAGTGAAAATGTATAGCTTTGAAATACAAATAATTTGGCTAGTTGTAAGATCGTAATCTTACGATAATGCAAGGTCACACAAATTTACAAGTTATAAAGCAAAGTACTTTATTAAGTTCTTTGCTTTTTAACTTGTAAATTTGTGTAGCCTTGCATATTACCTTATACATTTATAACTTGATAACTTTTTATAACANCCAAATTGCAGCAATAACAGTCAATGACTTGATGCTTCTGAGAAGAAGGATTGAGTCTATTGACTAAACTAGGGAACTGGGAAGGTACAATAAGCCAGAAGGCTGCAGTGCCCGGGGAGTGCAAACCCCGCTTCCTAGTATCCTTTTCTACCATACCATACCATACCATACTACTTAATTACTTAAAACTTACTATTAATGTATGTATATATTCTATATATTCTTCATCATGTTAATTTTTCAACCTAATTTTGCATAAAGTAGTAATTAATTAATTATAAAAAAGTTTTTTATATTATTATTATTATTATTAATTTTTAAGGGCATTTTAACTGCTAAGGTCATTTCACGCCCTAACATCCAAACCTTCTATCTTAGGTTAGCTATATCCATTCTGAGTGCTTTAAAGTTCTGGCTCCAAACATTCTCTCATAAACTAATCTATTCTATTGTCATCCAAACCTTTAATTTATCCTTTTAAAATTCTTAATTCGGAAAGCCAAATGTATGCCAAAATCCCATTTTAAATTAAATATAAAATTTATTCCTGTTTTTTCATTATTGTGCCAAATAGAAATTCAGTTTAAAAAAAACATGTTCCCCACCAAATTGTTAAATTCAAAATCAAAGTAAAAAAAAAAGTGAGATTTGAACTCCTTCAATTATATTAGAATGTGTAGTAGAGGCATGAAAATAGGCTGCAAGCTGTGGTGTGCAAACATCCACTCATCATGGGAATTACAAATAAGGGGTGGTTAGCCTTTTTTATCTCAACCAATGGAGTCTCTAGGAGATGACTCAACAGAAGATCCAACTTTCTTGGAAAACCAATGGATTTCGAAATTTTAATCAATTTAGTTAATTTATAAATATTTTTTATTTTATACGATTGATTATGGGAAATTTTATTTACACAATAATCTATTTGTAATTAAACCCATTTAGTTTTAATGCAATTGATTAATTTGAAAATGAATATTTCCTGAGATTTATTTTGATTTTATTTACTCCTGGAATTTTTATTTTGTATTTTGTTATCCAAGGACAAATTACATTAGTTTCTCAGAGGTAGGGAATGTTAACTCCAATTGATTACATCATTTGCTGAGTCAGAGTACATATTGCTAAATATAATTTTTCAATAAGCTTTCATTAACTGTAGGTTGTTTTCCAGTTAGCAATACACTAAAGGCAACATGAATGTGTTAATGGTTTTGCTCTGGTTGCTCATCCTTATCTTCGCCTCCTGGTGGATAGCGTGTTTCGTCTTCTTGCCGTACCTTGTGTGTGGCGTCCTGGCACCTTGGATTCCTCCTTTTAAAGATTTTGAAGCTTTCCTACTCCAAGGAGTGCGTTTCCCCGGCTTCTGTTCCGAAAGGATATGTGCTGCTTTTTCGAATGAATGAGAGAAAAAGGAGCAGTGATTCTGTACATGTTGAAATTTCAGTAAGTTTTTTCCTCAATCTTTGATGCTCACCATTTAAATATTGATTTTCTTTCATATTTATAATTTATTTGATTACACAGGGAATAATAGAAATAACATTTTAAATGAACAGCTTTATCAATATTTATCAAATACCAAAAGCTTGCTTTTTAAATTTATAATAAAATTTGAAAGAAAAAAATTGTATCCAAACATTCCAAGAATGTTAAAATGATGGAATGTAAGATGTACTTGAATCAAGATTTTCATTGGTATTGCTTATTTAAAGTTAGCAAATAAAAAGCATACAATTCTCTATGTTTATATCTTATTTTTCCTAAATTGTACAATCAACTTAATATGTAATTTTCATTGTTTATTTATATTACAGCCACTGCCACAGTGTAAATAACAAAAAAACGGCATGCAGCAAATGGAGTTAACCAGATTAATAGGAGCAACAGACTGACCGCATGTGAAACATCAAAATGTATTAATAAAAAAAATTTAACAAAAAAATTTGTACAAGTACAAATAATTTATTGAAATTAGTATGTAAGACTAAACTTGTGTTTTTACTGAGCTCTTGTTATCTCTGATCACTGTTGATTGTTATATTTGCTAATTATATGGTTTACTAGCATTGATTTATGTTCAATTGTTTTTGTTTTATTATTTTAGCTTTACAACATTACTACAACAAAAAACACTGGTTTATTTATATTTATTTACTATTACACGTGCCAATGCCTTTCGTTATTTCAATAATAATTATTATAAACAATTTATCTTTAAGATAACACAATTGTCTTCCACTAAGCTAAATAACACTAAATTCATATAGTTTATATTTGGCATTATTGGTAAATGTCTTGTTAAATACATTTGATCAGTTAAAATAAATTTATGAGTTTGTATAAATTTGCATTAGTTTAAATTATTTGCTTACGGGTTCTGAGCACATTTTATTTTTGTACACTGAAAGTAAATCAATTTTGTGAAGTTGTTTGACAGCTATTTTAACATAGATAAATAGAAAGAAGCTTTGGTAGGATATGCTTTTTAAATTTTAAGACACAGTCACTCTGTCTTCTACTGTTTAATTAAGTAATTTAATTATCATCACAAGTCAAATCCAAAAAATAGTATTAACTTAATTGCTGTATAAACAAATTAAATTGCCAATCTTTGAAAAAGACTGCATTGTTTTGGAGCATCTTTATCTTTATTCCATTAAATCTCTATTTTCATACTTATTGCACAATATGCTAGTTCTTTAAATAATTAGTATTATTAACTTCTATAAACATAATAAAATTACGAACATATAATATATAGGACTAATAATACATTGTTTGTTCTTTTACTATTCCCAATCCATAACTTCAATTAAAACTCATACATGCGGTGTATTTGGAATTTTCTTCTCATTTAGAACTATGCCAGATGTGTGGTGATTAATGACCGTTAGTCAATAATTATTCGAAAATCGTGAGATGCGGTCTGGTGTGATGTAGTTTTCAGAAAAACATTTTCTTTATTGTGCCAACGTTTCGACCTTTATTGAGATCATCTTCAGGGCTTTTTTTTTTTTTTTTTTTTTTTAATTCAGAATTCTAAAACCTACATCACACCAGACCGCATCTCACGATTTTCGAATAACTATGCCAGATGTTGCTCTGTTACCACCAATTGAAGGAAGGTGCTGGGTATAAGTTTCAATTACAAATCAGATATAAGGCCATTTGGAAAGAAAAGAAAACACAATTCCTTCATCAAGCTTTTGATAAATATATTGTTTTGATCAGAACTTTGAAACTGCACTGAGAGGCAAAAAATGGCCGCCCTTAATATTTTTAATTAACTCTTAGACAATCATACATCGATTATCTTACACCAAATGTTCCTTTTCGAGGATTAGAGGCAAATACTCGGATAAAAATCTCCCACTTGTGTTTACAATGGAATTTTGTAAATAAATCTTTGAATAGTCAATCTTATCTTTGTTAGTTTTTCTTTAAAGCTTCTTTTTAATATTTGGTAATTTGAATTTTTTGTTTCAAATTGTTTGAGTGATAGTTTTAAGAGATACTGATTCTGTTAGGATGGAAGTAATCAAGACTATTAATGAATAACTCATTATTATATTTAATTTTCTTATTTTTTATTTCTATCCTTATTACTGTTTATTAATATACTTAAACAAATAATGGACTGACAGTTGTAATTGAAATGTTAGGCATGACTGCGATCTGACGGCTAAGCTAATAACTAGATTGAATTAAACGTTTAGCCAAATAAACTTTAATTTTTTTTTTAAATAATGTTATCGATGAAAGTGTTAAACGGCAACTTGTATGGTTTCAATTTATAGCGCATGTAAAACCGTAATAGTAAAAAGATTTGTTATTTTAAGAATTGATAATTAATAAATAAGAATGTACGTTGCATCAACTTCCCGTTCTGCCGTATCATCGGTGTGGGGTATAACCGAGCGGTTCAAGATTTTATTAGCATCGCTTCTCGGCCTTTTGGCTAAGATCAAAGTGTAGTATCTGTTCTTATCAGCTTAATCTCTGGTACGACTTCCATAGGGAGTCCAGTAGATTAAACTGATTTTTGGAAAATGACGGAGTGCTAGGGGCTTGCTCCACCTCTGTCGCGGGTTGACCTGGTATTGCAGTACTTCCAGGAACGGCTCACCTGATTGTTTATGAATAAGAAAAATCGGAAATTGTGGAAATACTAAAACAACTAACACAATATAAAGAAAACAATTTCCATGTAGAAAAATTAATTGTTAAATTTTGATGACCGTTGAGTGAGGGATAAATGAATCAGCGTACAAATTGTTGTATCGTTAGTATTATTATTACATTGAAGGACAATCAGCCTAGATTGATTTGGATTTTATCTTATCTAGATCTATCTTATTTTATCTAGCTTATCTAACTGATGACGAAAATTAATTTATACGTAAATATCGCAAATATAAACTTACATCTAATTTGCGACATTACGCGTAATAAATTAATTTTTCGTAATACGTAATCAGTGTTAGTTATTAGTAAATATGCAAGAAATAAAATCCAGATCGATCTACGCTGCTTTGTTCTTCATGAAATTTGTTCTTCGCCCTAATTGTCGCAACAATTAACAAGACAGAAAACGATTATTCTCAAATTAATAGATGCATTATGTATTTATCTACAAAAGGGGCCCAGAATTATTTTCTCTATCTAACGTACATTTCCCCGAACCAACGTGCTATTAATAATGGAAAGTTGCCGTAAGGTAGCGCTTTCTCAATTATACACTACTTCTGACTAAAACATCGTGTTACATTACCATAACAATTGTGTACATAACGTTGCAAAGATTTGAAAATGTAACATAACTATCCTTCTTTAATTTCGACTTTAAGTCGATAAATGTAAAATTTGTCAAAAGGAGTTGTTTTAGATTTGAGACGTCGACTTCCCAGTCGGCCGAGAGCCGTTTCACCATTAGACCGGAAAGTCGTGCCCAGGGTACAATTAAGATCATACTTCTACAGGATCATTTCTGTAGTAGATCTTCACAAAATCCGGCTACAACAGTCGAATACCTTAAACCACGATGAGGAAGCGTGGCGTTCTCCCCTGAGCGTGAGGCAGTTTTGGAAGTTCAGTAATGCGAACTTCCAAAACATCGATGACCGTCAGCTTTCCCTTACCAGGGAAGGCGTGGGGAGTACGCTTTCTGAGTGGTTCTTTAAAAAAAATGAAACAATATAAAACGGGTGGGAAGGACCTAGTCGGTTATAAAAGACAATTTTGTGTAAGGCGTCGGCTTCTTTGAAGTGAAATGACCCTTCAAAACTAAACATAAAACCGCACAATCTCACAGGCACTCTCAACATGACACGCAAGGATGGTGGCACAATTACACAAAAGACAAACACTGAGTGAGTAGAAATACTTTGTTTGAATATAAAATATATTTTGCATTGTATAAATTCACTTATCCACATCATAAATGTAATTGTTAAATGTAAACATTGTTTGTAAATCCCAGGCCCTGAAGATGGTCTCAATAAAAGATCGAAACGTTGGCACGATAAAGAAAATGTTTTTCGGAAACCTACATCACACCCGACCGCATCTCTCGATATCTGAATAACTAAATATAAAACCGATCGGATTCCACATTAACTCCCCAGGGCGAAAATTTGATATTGTGTCCGCACTCCGTCCGGTCCAATCGAACGAGAAAAAAAAACATGGGTAACAACAAAATAAAAATACGAGATCGTTTGGTAATTATTTTCAATAATAAGGTTTTGGTTGAGACCAAAAAAAGTTGATAATTATATTCATTCGTGAAATGCGCTTCTCATAAAACTAATTCATAGAGTATTTGTGGGAGTTTTACGACGGGATGCACTGGCCTTGGCCACTTTTGCCTCGGGGAGCTACTGCCGAAAATGTGTACTAGTGGTGGGAAGTATGATTCTTTTAAGCGAATCGATTCCCTTCGATTCAATCCCTGAAGTGAGTCGATTCTTTTTTATCGATTCTTTGATCCTCCCCACTCATGGTACCAGAGCTTTCGTTTATTGGTTTCGTGGTTTCACACAGTTTAGCAAGAACCATTTCACAGGAAGATGTCGCACAGTAGTCAAAAGCACAGGAACTTCATCGCGGAGCCGATGAACGAGAAACCGGTGACTAAGCTGGCAGGCATCGGCGAAGTCCTCGGCACAAGGCTGGAACAACAGGGATTCGACAGAGTAAGCCGCCCTTTCCATCTGTAAATACACTAAGAATGCAATTTCGACCCTTGTCCAGGCTTACGTCGTCCTGGGTCAGTTTCTCGTCCTCAGGAAAAACAGAGCGCTCTTTCAAGACTGGATGAGGGACACCTGCCAGGCGAATTCAACACAGTCCAATGACTGCTACAACCGATTGGTGTGATGAGTTTTTGTAAAATATGTAAAATTTATTTTTAATAATTAAATTTTAATTTTTTAACTATATTTTTCAATATTATTGCATTTATAACTAATAAATACAGCATGTGTCATTTCGTTGTGTCATGTTCATGAGTCATCCATGCTATCTTTGAACCCGCTTGACCTTGATATCAATCTATTACGCCAACTTCCTTAACATATTCAAAACTTTTTTGAGGGGCAAAGTTCCAGAAATTTTTATGATAGTCAAATGTCATGTTCCGTCCTTACTTATGTACCATACTTTTATCTTACTCATCAACTGTATAGATCATTTTTAAGATCTGGATGGCTTTTACCATCACCTAATTGGCTGTCAGGGTTAGAGCGTTTTACAATACCTATTTAATTAATGTGTTTTATTCTGCTAGTTGTTTCAGATCTCTTAATTTTATGAAGGTATCATTTGAAATTATATACTAGCATATTCTTTCAGATGTCCCCGTTATGACTCTTAAACCCTGTTTTGAAATGTCTGCAGTCACTTTATTTAAGAGACTGACACCCATAGTGGAAAATGGTGTTGATATAAATTGACATTGAATTGGCCTTTTGATTTAAGTGATGGCATGATTTATTAGAAAGTGCCAGTATACAGTACCACTGTATTTGTAGATAATACAATATGATTCATCCATATAATTGTAAGGTGATTTTTGTATAATTTCATTTTGAGTTTAAATACAGTCAGAACATTGCCCAAACGGCCAGAAACTTTTTTTTTTTTTTTTTTTTTGGCATCAGCTCATAGGCCAGAGTCAGCCAGAAACATTAATGAAGTCTGGGGTGATGGCAGCGTTTGACAGCACTATTCAGAGATGGTTTAAAAAATTTCTCACTCGGTGTGTCGGTCAATCATCTGTTACAGCTGGGCTACCAACAATATGAAGTCGAGAAATTCCAAAGATTTTTTATTCGTAAGTTATTTGCTCTTCCTAACCCTACCCCAAACTACATGATTTATTTAGAAACGTCCACTGACCTGATTTATATATACACCTTAAAACTTCACTTTTCATTTATTTTCAAAATTTTGAATTCCCCTTACATAAAATTGGCATGATTTGATGATGTCAGTCGTCAGGAATAAGATCGCCTGGTATGCCCAATGGCTTACGCTCTTTCAGAGATTTGAAGTAACCTGTCCCACCTACGAAAAACTTACTGATTGTATTTGCTCTTTTTTTAGATCTGCTATCTAGATTCAAGGAACGGCATCGGGACGGTTGCTTACTCCGAGCTCAGTCCTGGCTTAAATTTTCCTTATTAAAAGACATTACCCCCACACTTTATTTAATCTACAGAGAGAGAGCCTTAATTCCCTTAGTCTTTCAAACTTAAGATGGCTACTAAAAACCCGTTGCGAGGCCCTTAACTTGAACTCTGCACTTTGGTTGAGGGGCAAGGAGGGGTTATGTGCCCTTTGCAATTCTCCATCTGTGGAAACAACTCTGCATTTTATGGCCGAATGTACAATATTGGGCGAGATAAGGTTGTTGCACTTGTGATCTTTTACCCTCTCTAGGAGCACTGTTAAATTTGTTGGATGGCCCAGATCCACGGGCGCTCATGTAGTATGTCCGCCACTCCTGGAAATGTAGATTAGACCTAATTATGGAATTCAATTTCTGACCCCTCTAATTCATTCACTCAATTTCCTTTATATAATATATGTCTTTATTATATCCGATTTTTTGTCCCTTTACCATTAAGACTTTTCCCTCGGTTTGTTTTCTATTAGAAGTAGTTTTACTATTATGTTTAATCTTTTTTTGATGGTGTGCTAGTGTTTACGCTAATGTAAACATTTTTATAAATGTTAGTTAATTAGAAATCTTATCCTTTATTATTTTAAATTTATTATTTTTAAAAAGTTATAAATACAGAAAATTTGTAAGGATCACGACGCTGGAGGGAGAAACAGGTCAATTTTCAGCAATCCTTCGTAAAAGGAGTGAGTCACTGCCTGGACTTAGACCTGTACGCACGAACGTACAAAGCTGTCTACAGTGAGTCACTGCCTGGTTTTCGAACTGTTCGCACGAAGTACAACTGTCTTCAGCGTTCAGAGAGTCTCTCCCGAGGATTCAACCCGTACGCACGAACGTACATCAGCGGTCTCCAGTCTGTCGCTCTCTGGCTTCCGACGGGTACGAACGAACGCACCTTTGACGTCGTCCGGCGAGTGGCTCCCAGACTCCAATCTCAAGCTCCAAGATAAGCGCCAAATCGTTTGATCTTCACTGTCGTGAGACGACAAGACGTACGAACGTCCTTATTCTTTTAATTCAACATTGCCATTTTTTGTATTAACTTTCTCATAACCAATTCTCTATATATCTATATTTCTATATATTAGTTAACTTTGTTTTGTTTCTGGCCAGATTTTTAGTTTTAGTATTTTTATCATAAATTGTCAGTTAATAAATTTAATCATCAAACGAATTATTCTTTTTGTTAACCTTAAGTCCTTTACGCAACAGCCGGCAACTATCCCTAGTAACGCCGTACTTGGAGGGTAGGTTCCAATACTCACTCCCGCCGGCGTCTACGAAACATTGGTCCTCCGGGCCGGATCGTTGCGTAAGGGATTTAACGTTTGATACTATATTTTGATTTTCTGTGTAGTAGTTTTGTAGTGTTTAATTGTTAATTCTTTTAAATATTATTTTTCTTTTACATGTACTACTGTTTTTTCTAAACGTTAACGTATCGCCCACTGTTTTGAAATATTGTAGATACCCGCAATTAGATATTATTTAAACGTTTATATACGCACACTAGTATTTCGTAACAAAGGAATTGGTTCTCTGAACAAAGGAAATCCTCAACATGGCCGAAGGGGGAGATTCGTCGGAAATGACGATTCAGATTACTCAAGGGAAGGCTTATATCGTACGCTAAAGAAATTAAGTCCATTACCGAACAAGGACGCTTAGCTTCTGCAGACCCGTCTCAAATTAACTTGTTTATGGCTATGCATACTCAATTAAAAGAAAATTTCGATAAATACAATCAAACCTGGGACAAATTGACAGAATATCATATGCGACTTAACAAAACCCAGGAATTTCTTCGCCAAGCGAAGTCACGACACAATCTTCAGCGAAAAGTACTTTTATGAGGTGACGTCACTTTATTTGCGACTGTGTCAAACGACTCCCTCTGTTCCTGGAAGCGTTTCCGCCTTTAACTCTTCAAGCCTAAACGAATCTAGAATCGTCCGTGCGCAACTGCCGACGATCAACCTTCGTTACTACTACTACTTTCGATGGAAACTTGATGAAATGGCCTTCTTTTCGCGATATTTTCGTGTCATTGGTTCACAATGATACTACGATACCTTCAATTGAAAAATTCCATTTCCTTCTTTCTGCGCTTACGGGGAAGCTTTGAGTGTTTTTTCTAAAACAAATTTCCCATTTTGGACACCAATTACGAACTCGCGTGGAAAGCTGTCACTCAAACTTACGAAAGTCCTCGTATGCTAGGCAGCCAATATATCAATGCAGTTTTAGATTTTAAGCCGTCAACTGGCAAGCCGTCGTTAGAATCTCTACAAAATATTCTCGTCCATGTGACAGACAATCTGGCGGCTTTTAAATTATTAAAAATCGACAATGAGACTGACTTTTTGCTCACTCATATAGCTCTTCGTTGCTTGGATCCTGTCACACGACAAAGTTTTGAAATTCTCATGCTGACGTAAAATTTCCTACGCTCGATTTATTCGAAACTTCTGTGAGGCAACGATGTTATGCCATGAAAGTCACTCAAGACGACACTCAGATGGAGCATGTGAAGCAGAATCCAATAAGAAGCTCTCCTGCACATTGGCGTTCAAAACAGTATTCGAAAATTCCCAGACCCGTACTCTTTGGAACCGGAAGATCTCTGAAATCGGGAGTGACTCTAGATAAAATAAATTTAACTTATATACAAACAAGTTAGTAATGAAAAACTAAAATTAATTTGAAATGTTTTATAGCAATTCTGTCATATACGTCTAAACGTTCTTTTTCGTATGGTGAGCAATTTGAGAAGAAATCGTGACAATTACCTTAATTACTTTCCACACTGAAAATTTCAATTTCAAAACCGTGTAATTTAGAATGAATTTTACATTAGTAAAGTGCAACAACGTTTTACAAATGATTGCCCTTTCATTTTTGACAATGGTATCAAATTTAGCATTTAATTCATAATCATAGTAGTAGAGGCCCTCAATCGTCGATTAAGTTTCGTAAGGTCGATCCAAACATATTATTTAATAAATTAATATATACCGAAAATGATACTTTGTAGTGCATAATATTTGTACTTTTTACTTCAATCAATGATTCATTGATGATTGCCTTAATATCTGTTTACATTTAGATCTATGACTTAGGTAGATTTAGGTCAAATTGAAGTTACCGTTTAGCTTTTCATACTAACAAAACATTTGGTATGTGTACTGTAATTCGTATAAGGCGCACGATCAGCGCTACTACTGATATCTAGCGACGAATAGGAGCAACTAAGAACCAGATTCTCAGTATTTTTTCAGCCTTTACAGTGTACCAACGTCAATCGGAAAACATTAATTCCACAATAGCCCTTAAACATATATAAATAAAGTACGGATAGATCGAGTTAGTTGGTCAGGGAAGGCTGAATTAACGCCATAATCGGCTTGGGGAGTGGTGAAACCGGTAAAATTCCCGGTCATGTAGCGAGAGCACCGCCGGATATAGTGGAACGGGCAATCTAGCTAAGCATACTTACCTGGCGTCGGGGTTACCGTGATCACTAAGGCGGTTCCCCCAGGGCGAGGCCTTCCCATTGCACTTCGGCTTGGCTGACCTCTGCGAATATCCCAAATGCGGATATCTCGGGCGCGTAATTTTTGGTAGTCGGGACTGCGTACGCGCTATCCCGGTTCTAATTAAACTTTACGGAGTACCACAACGATGATGAACACCACATTTCAACATTAGTGACATGACTGGTGTGACGTCACGTAGGTTTAGAAAAACGT